GAGATGATTTCAATAGATCTATATAGGGTCACTATGATTGTACGGGGCAGGAATGCAGGTTGGGGCTTCTGTCCTCCAGCTAAGAAGTGACTTTAAGCTCATTACTTTATTGTTTGGAGCGGCTGGTTTTCAGAGCTCAGCCAAATGTCTCTTTCTACTTACAGCACCTCAGCAGTGGGCTCAGGTATCATCTTCTCAGGCTGTGAGTCCGTCATCACTGTTTGACTGCAGACATTATTCAAGGATGATGTGTCCCTGTTCCAGACACATGTCCAGTCTTGGCTTAGCCCCTTCACGGTGGTACAATCCACTGGCATCCATTCATCACTGTTTCCTATAGTTTGGCTCCGTCCCTACCAATCCGTGCTCATTGCCAGAGAAACCCCCAGTATCGTCAGTGACCAACTCCGGGGCAAGTAGTAGGTTTTCAGAGGCTTCAGTTTGGGCAAATGAGTCTTTCTGGGCTTTGGTTTTGTTGTTTGCAAAATGACACCTATATTAATGTTCAAAGTTGAGTTGTCCTCACTCCCCCACCTTCTCAAATATGTTGCAAACCCTATTGATCTGGTGGCTAGAATCCCATCTGGGGGTAGGTTGTTATTAGTGGGGCCGTAGGAGTGGAGGGTGTACCTGCAATCACTTTTGAGATAGAAAGGATGCAGCAGCAGAAGGGCGCAGTACAGATATGGCGAGAGATGCTGCATGAAATCTCTAAAGAGCTGAGAAGAAGAGGCTCAACAGTGAGGGGACTTTCCCTAGAGCCAGCATCCTGAATTCAGATTCTAGCCTCCCGCACTGTGAGGAAATAAATGTTCGTCAAAGCCCCCCCACCCGCGGCATTTCTACTGGAACAGCCCTAGATGAGAAGGCAATTCGTTTCTTCCAAACTCAGACAGGAAATAGATACAATAAAATGCTTAAAACGTTCTCTGAAAAATAGTTTAAGGAAAGAAAGAAAACCATCCAGCCAACCACGCCAGCTGCCCTGGATTCCATTTCAAATGCCGGAGCTGTGCGCCACAGGGTTCCCACTCTTCAGAGCCTCCTCCCCAGACCCCTCTGCGGGACTCCCACTAGGGGTTTCAAGGACAAAGCGACACCTGGGGTCCTTTTGTGGGAGAGAGCCATGGCCGCCTGCTGCTGTAAAGGTGAAAGCCTACCAGGGCAGTTCTACTCTGCCTTCCAGGGCCCCTGTACACCAGAAGCAACTCAAAGGAGACGAGAGGAGCATGGGAGTAATCATGTAAGGTGCCTTGGTCACGTCCTGTTACATATGGGGCTGCTAACCACAAAGTCAGCAGTTCAAAGCCAGCAGCCACTGCAAAGATGGAAAATGAGGCTTTCTGTGCCCATAACGATTCACGACCTTGGGAAACCCAGCGGGGCAGGTCTACTCTGTCCCATTGGGTCATTAGGGGTCAAAAGGGAGACAATGGCGTGAGCGTGTTGCTGGTGGTTTCTCCAGACACGGTCACAGCCTCCAGCACCAGTTCAGCAGCTCTGCCCTGCACACCTGGCCCCCTGCACAGGGACCGGCTCGCCTCCCCCTGTTGGGTCAGGTGCACCCTTAACACTCTAGTAGGGGAGTCACCACAGCTCCTCCAACACTCTCGGGGAGGAGCAGGGGTGGGTGACCCCTCAGCGGCCGAAAGCTTTCCCCAGCAGAGTGGGTGGGTGGGAGGGCTGCTGCAGCGGCTTTGTGAGAGAACAGGGCAAGGATTGCCCCTCGGGGCTGCTGCCATCTAAGCACGGTGGTGTTCGCTGCAAGCCGATGGCACATTCTTCACAGTTGCCAAGGAGCCGGGCAGTCTTGTGCCACGCGCTGCCTGGATCCCTTCAGGTTGCTGATGGAAAGGTTTCAGGTGCTGCCAGCCTTTATTACAAGCATTCCTGGTCGCCACAAAATAATCCCGCGAGGAGACGAGTTACGTAAAGGACGAAACCACAGGCCCGAATTGGCACGCCGCACACAACAGGTACTTTGTTTTCTTTTGATATTGATCCAAAGATGTACGGGATTAAGAAGAAGGTAAGACGAGGGCCACATACTTCAGTGATCTATAGCCTGCTGTTTGGCAAGAGGACTTTTGCTGCCCAGTTTACTTCTTGGGAAATTCTGGGCAAGTCCCGAGCATGGCCCTGAGCTCTCCCCTCAGGAGCTGTGACCGCATGAGCCAGGAAGGCCCGCTGAGACCCCACCTTCCTCTGAAGATGAAGGCAAAGCGACTCACACTGCCAGCCTCTCTCCTGCGCCTACAGATGACCTACAGGTGGGGAGGGGCTCCCAGGGGCTCAGGCAATAAGCAGTTGTGTCTGAACGGGTATGAGTTTGGGGGGTCTGAGGCAGAGAGGGACAGAGACAGGGAATTTGTGTTCAATAAGGAGTGTCCTGTGATGCTCCAGCAATCCAGTGGCTTCTTTACTCAAAAGGGACAGCATTTGGTTAATAAATTTGCTTATTGAAGCAATAGAGTAATTCAAGGCTACTTACAGCATTGATATCCTATTAGGCCAGTAAGAATTCCTCATGATATGGACTAATTCAGAGTCAAGAATTCCTCATGATATGGACTAATTCAGAGTCAAGAATCCCTCATGATATGGACTAATACAGAGTCTTCGGTAAGTAAAGATGTCTCACATGCCAGCTGCCATCTAGTGGTTATTATGACGAAGGAAGCGGCTGTCCACTTGAGAGGAATTAGCCATGGGAAACCTTCCACACAGCATCCTGAAGGCCAAATGCACACAAGCAGGACCTTGTCAGAGGCAGTGCCAGAAGAGGTCACTGTGAGCACTTGGGTGCAGCTGGTCAAACCATGGAATTTCCCATTGCCTCATGTGCGTGCGACAGCTGGGCACTGACTAGGGTGGTCCGCAGAAGGATCGATGTATTTGAGTGATGGTGCTGGCAAAGGATATTGAAAGTACCACGGTGGTACTGCCAAAAGGACAAATAAGGCTGTCTTGGAAAAAGGTGGGCCCGAGTGCTCTTTAGAAGCATGTCCAAAATATTGTATCACATACTTTGGACATGTTGTCAAGAGAGACCAGTCTCTGGAGGACATCATGCTTGGTAGAGGGGCAACGAAGACGAGGCAGGCCCTCAACGAGATGGACTGCCACAGTGATGGTCACGATGGGCTCAAGTAGATGAACATTGTGCAGACAACACAGGACCGGGCAGAGCTGCTAAAGGTCGCTGTGGTACTTCCCCACCAAACACCTGGAGGGAATGCGTGCCTGAGCCTAGGGCTCAGGATGATGGTCTCAGGGGACACCAAAGTCAATTGGCATAACGTGGTCTGCGAACACAACGTTTACATCCTACGTTGGTGGGCAGTGAGTGGGCTCTTCGAAGCTTGCAGGCATCCACTGGAGATGCAACTATTGGTCTCCCCCACCCCCGCCCCCCAGCTGGAGGGAGGGAGGGGAGTGAAAAAGACAAAGGCGCATAGAAACGATGAGTCCCGCAGACTAACAAACCAGACACACATCAGGAGCCACCACCCAAAGCAGAGCTAGAGCCGCCTGGCTACCACTACCCACAGCTCTGAAAAGATCATGTTGGAAAGTCTTACATGGAACGAGAGAAAAATGTGGGGCAAATCTCAAGATCCTACAAAAGGCCAGGCTTGATCAGACAGGGACTGGTAGGGCCCACGAGAGCATGGCCTTTAGTCACCCTCAGGTTCAGAAATGAACTCACCCAATCCCACGACTCAATTCCCAGCCCCACAACAGAGAGGTCTAGAGTGGGAGCCCTGACACTCCGGAGGCACACGTTCCTGAGCATCGTCACAGCGGCAGATCAAAAGGCCGGCATTCCCTGAGCACAGGGTTCTGCAAGGTTCGCAAGGGGGAATGGAAACAGAAGCACAGGGCGGGAGAAGGATGAATGAGGACCCATCGTGGGGATCACAACCATGACACCAAACAGAATGTGTATGCACTGCTGGGTGGGAAACTGATCTGCCTGCAAACTGTCACCCAATTCACAGTAAACAGTTAACTGCACATACGGACATCAAGGTCGGGAGCAGTCATCCAAGACGTGATGCTCTTGCCGTCTCCTGCAAAGAGCAGGAAGGAAACAGTCAGTCAGCAGGGCCCTGGGCCCCTGAAGCACAGCCTCCTCCAACCTGTGAGCAGAAGGGGCGTGCCCACTAGAAGGACCCGGTGTGAGTGGGTCAATGCCGTGGGAAATATAACGCCATATAAAGAAGACCAGACGTGCTGGTCTGAGACTGATGGCACCCCCAAGACTATTTACTACCCTGAGACAACTTCCTCATTGGCAACTGAAGCAACTCCAGAGACCACCTTTTAGCCAAACACTAGAGCAGCTGAGAAAGTAACACCACCAGGGAGGAAGGTGCTCCTTAGAACAATCACCTCTAAGGGACCAAGAGGGGTGGGTGCACTGGGCCCAAAGCAAAGCAGAGAAGGCAGGAAGGCAGGAAGGTGGAGGGGAACCAGGCAGATAGAAACAGTGACACACACACACACACACACACACACACACACCCGTGTAGAATCAGGAGGTCGACTCAGTGCAGAGGATGTCAGTCAATGCCGCGGAACTACGTGTGAACTACTGCATGGAACACAAAATGTTTAAAAAAAAAAGATGCTAAAAAAATAATCACTAATGAAAACCCATAGTTCTTGTTAAAATTGTCACCCACTGAAATATTAATAGTGGTTGAGTTCGGCATACTGATTTATGGGAATAAAAGTAATACAACACGTAAGGGGGGGGGATACAAACTACAAACTAGACAGTGGCTGGCGGCCTCCAGCGGTCACCAATGGTCAGGTTTCCCATCAGATTCTTACTAAGGAAAGGTACTTCAAGATTTCCTCAAATCCAACAGTTCTCTTGAGAAATCAGCAGGAATAAAAACCATTATAAAAGCTGTATTACATGGTTTGCATTTTTATCAAAGAAGACTGCCGTATACTCAGTTATATAAAAATAGAATGGAAGCAGGTTTTTTAGAGATGTATTTATTAAGTTCTACAGCCTTAAATAACCCCAATTTCAAAAATTCAAATGAAAAAAGTAGAAAAAAATAGAAATGTCAACATCTTTTGTAAAGGGTCGTGGGCACTCTTTTTATTATTGTTATCACATCTAACAGCAAGATGATGCGTGGGTGTTGCTGAAAGCTTCCTTTTGCCAGCAGGTGAGCTTCATCTTGGTCTCCACTTTATGTCTTTCACTCCATGGAATTGTCTTTTCAAAGCAGTGTTATCCGCCCAGGGAGAATTTAAACAGGAATCATCATCATTTTCTTCTAATTTCTGGAAAACAATGCTTTACTCAGGAAGGCGTTTTGCAAGGAGAGAGGCTGAAAGAGAGTCCTCAACCAGCCCTTCCTTGCTGCCCCGCCTCCCCCCTAGTAGGGCATGTTCATTTCATGGTCTGAGGTGACATCTGGTGGGACCCCAATGGCCTTGGAGGGGCTGAGGCTCTGTACAGGCCAGCTCACCCATGCTGCAAAGCTCACTGCCCCCACCTGCCCTGGTGCCCTTGGCTGAGACAAAGGACGGCCTGCCCTCTGTCAGCCTGAGCTCAGCTGAAAACCTGTCTGCATACCTTGAGTTCCTCCTGCCGCCTGTGATAATACAGCATCAGCTGCTTCTGCTCCTCGCTGCTGATGAGCGGCTCTCGGGCTGGAGCTCCCTGGCCCCGCTGCAGAGATTGGAGAAGGCGGAGGGGTGGCGGGAGGCACTATTTATGGTAGTGCGGCTCTATTCTGTCCCACAGGGTTGCTAGGAGCTGGGATGGACTCCATGCCAGTGGGCTTGGCTTGGAGGTATGTCACACTGAGCATGTCCAATGGCCTGGGCCATGACAGACCAAGTCCTCATGAGCAATCTTGGTCTTGGGCTGCACAGCAGCTCTGAACTCTGACTGTGCGGGAAGCGAGGCGACGGCTTCCGCAATGCCAGCTGCTTAGACCCATCCAGGACCACTCTGTCACAGCCACCCCCGGGCCGGCCGGGAAGGGAGGATGCTTCGAAGCCACACACTCTGGATACAGACCACGGGAGCACCCTGCTTCCCCCAACTGCTGACTTAGGAGACAGCACAGAACTAAAGCAGACTTGTAGCTCCACAGCAGTGGTTCTCCACCTTCTTAATGCTGCGACCCTTTCATACAGTTCGTTGCTACTTCATCACTGTAATTTTGCTATTGTTATGAATCGGGTGATCCCTGTGAAAGGGTCATTTGACCCCCAAAGGGGTGGTGACCCACAGGTGGAGAACTGCTGCTCTACAGCTAAAAGGCCCCTAGTTCTGCCTCCTCATTTTGAGAAAAAGCTGTAAATAAGCGATCTTGATGCTATTTTTCAGTTCAAGAACGCTTCTTCCTCACAGCCCTGTTTTGAAAGTTAGAATGCACAGTGGTCTAAACCAGCCGCCGTCCAATCACGAGGAGCCCAAGTGTGGCAGAGCTCTGGCCTCCGCAGGGTTTCGACTGGTGGGTCTTGAGGGGTACTGGACAAGCCTTTCCTCTGCGGCGCCTCTGGGTGGCTGCGAACCTCCAACCTTCCGGCTGGCAGCCCAATGTGTTAACTATTTGCAGCGCCCAGGGACTCAGAATGGTAAACCTCCGAACTTACGTCCCCAAATTAGACTGCTCCACCGTTGCAGTGCGTCCTCCTTTCTGCCAGGGCGCATACAAAAATAGGATATATCCCTGAAATCCCAAGCCAAGAGGACCCGAGTGACTGCACAAGCAGGTCCGTTTTCCGTTTTCATCAGGGCAAAAGTAGGGCCACAAGCAAGGCAAAAATACTTACTTGCTGAATCTTGACGATAATTTTGGTTTTTTCATTTTTCCCCACATAGTCTGAAAGTTTCTTTGTTCGTCTTAGCTCCTTGGCTGCCCACCACAGCTGGGCCTCTGATTCTTTAATGACGCTGAGGGCTGCCTGGGGTCCAACAAAAGAGCCCCAGGTGAGGTCATCTGGAGAGGCGGTGCCACAGGCCCCCCCCACAGCACTCCCACCAGCACCTTCCCTGCCTGCCTGTTTGGATCAGCTCCAGGCTTGACTCAGACAACTTACCTGGGAGGCCAGAGGGTCCTATCTCATCGGCACCTAATGTATAAAGTTCCTCTTACGTGGATTTTCAGAAACTCACGGAAGGTTCTACTCTGCCCTCTAGGGCAGCTAGGCGTCGCCATCGATTCCACAGTACGGAGTTTGTTTCTTTGGTTTTAGTGCAGAGTTTTGGGGTGCTACCAGGGAAGAGCCCGGCACTCCTGCTGGTGTTTTACATGCAGGCATGGCGAGCTGTTTGATTTGCTTGCTCTTGGGTACTTATCTATTTAAAGTAGTTTACAGAAACTATGTATAGCGAACTACATACACACACACACACTACAAAAGGGAACTTCCAAAACTTCATGGGAAAATTGCTATCTTTTGATTCAACGTTTTCCGACTTTCTGAAGACTCCTTCATATACACCCCCGGGATGGTTTCATCTCTCTACCCCTCCCTGGGAAGAAGTCTGTGTTCTGATTTACATCACAGCCAAACATCCCTGACAGACTCAAATGTGTCCCTTTTCAATGTCCTGGGGCATCAAAAGAAGTCTGGAGGGGCAGGACGAGAGCCGTAGGGTAGATGGGGTGAGGTTTCCCAAAGAAATCCTCCTTGCTACCACCCTCCAAGAATGCGCAGGCGCATTGTCATAATGGAAAAAACCCCTCAGCTCAACTTTCCTGGTCTCTTTCTCACCAGTAAGGCTTTCGGTTTAAAAATTCTTCTGAATACCCCCATGATTGTCCTGTCTAGATCATCTCTTTGGAGTCCCCCAGTTACCAACACCCTCTGAGCTGACCACTTTGCCTTGATTTTAACCGACGCAGCAGACCCCCCTGGGAGCAACTGGAGGGTCCCAGAAACGGCCTGGCAATCTGTACCTGAAAAGTCACAGCCTTACAAGAAACCACTCGGACCAACTCTACTCTGCAGGCATGGGGCGCCAGCAGGCTGGCTCACGCCATGTAGAGCAGTTCCACTCTGTGGACACAGAGGGCGCCAGCAGGCTGGCTCACGCCCACGTGGAGCAGTTCCACTCTGTGGACACAGAGGGCGCCAGGAGGCTGGCTCACGCCCACGTGGAGTTCTACTCTGTTCTACACATGGGATCGCCCAGGAGGCTCAAAACCACGTGGAGCAGTTCCACTTTATACATGTGGGTCACCAGGAGGCTGAATCGACTTGACAACTGGACTGGGGGGAGGATATGAACAAAATTAAGGGTACAAATTACACGAAGCAACGAGTAGGGCTAGAACACAGAATTCCATGCAAAGTAGTAGATATATTTGGGAAGAGAAGCAAAGCCACAAATCTGGTGTTTGGTGGTGCAGTGGTTACGACTTGGGCTGCTACATGCAACACCAGCAGTTCGAAACCACCAGCAGCTCCTTGGGAGAAAGACACGCTTTCTATTCTCACAGTTACAGTCTTGGAAACTGCAGGGGCAGTTCTACTCTGTCATGTAGGATTGCTAGTTGGCATTGACTCGACAGCAGTGTTTGGCTACCCAGGGGCCGAAGACTAGTATCAGTTATCTTAAACTATTTTAAATTACATAGTTACTCAGGAGGGGCAGGCTCACACACCTGCGCTAGGGCGTTTCTCAGTGGCTGAACTCCCCCAAGAGCTCCACCCAGTCCTCTCTTGAATCCTGCATGCAAAGCAGGGTTTGCAGCAAAAAGCACCCCCACTGGAGGTGAGGTTAGTTGAATCAGGTGTGTGCTTATAAGGTCACCTTCAAACACACCCGAGGGCCACACACCTGAGTTCCTGACAAGTCTTCTTTATCTTCAAATTCCATCCGGATGGGGTCGTAGGGGGGCAGCCCCATGGGATACACAATCATCACGGCACCGCGCAGTTGGTCCAGGGCATCTTTCACCATCTCCATGGTCACACACACATTGGCTTCCACTTGTGTCTGAAAGTGGGAGGGAGCCATCAGCCAAGATCCATCAACTTCTCGCGCGGTCCCTGGCAGATACAGCTCGAGCAGGCAAAAGGAGTAACAGGGTGCTGCTACCGAGGCCCTGTGACCTGCCTTGGTGACAGAGTAGCGGGGCAGCAGAGGGCATGGCGGCACAAGGCACCGGCATGGATGGGAGCGCGCACAGCTCAACGAGATGCATGCACAGGAGGCTGCCTGGCCAAGGTTCACTGACAGTCAGGGTGAGGAGCCTGTTCCCTGTTAGCAAAAGCTTCAGAGAGGAGCCGGGCATGGAGGTTAGAGTGGAATGGGGCAGGGGAGGCAGTCTGGAGGCTCAGCAGGGTACAGGAGAGGCAGGGGCGGTGGCTATACAATGAGAGGGGTTTTATGGGGTGGCAGGAGGTGGCATGGGAGGGGGGAAGGAAAGTGCCAGAGATGGCACTGGCGAGGGCAGCTTCTCTGACACTGGCTGGCCCCCCGATGGGAAGAGGCATGTGTAGGGAACGGGCTGAAGAGGGGATGGGAGGTCTGCGGTGCTGGTGGGACACTCAGCCTGAACTATCGCGGAAGCAGTTGGACTTGGGGCCCACATGTGTGAGGCAGGGCTCGGCGGAGGTTTGTGAGTATCTGCGGGTGTGAAGCTGGAAGAGTAGACTAGAGGCCTTGAGAGAGAGGGCCCCAGGGTACATTACTTCCAAAGTACCAAATTTCAGCAGCAAGAGGAGAAAAAACAAAAGGCAGCTTAAGACCGGGAGTGAAGAACAGGGCGGGACTGAGGTGGTGGCTGAGTCTGCAGGAAGAAGACTGAGCGCTGGTCTAGGAAATCTAGGGGGTGAGTGTGGGCTAAGGATCTGGAGGCTGCCAGGGCCCACCCTCCCCTCCAGGAAGCAGAGTCTAGAGCCCACTGGAGGGAGACTGGACACCGAGTCCCTTCCTGTGGGGAGGGGTCCAGAGGTGGGAGAGAGACCCAGTGGGGGGGGGGCATTGATGCCAGGTGGCCTTGTCATCTCAAGCTGGGGGAGGGGGGTGCTCTCAGTGAGAGAGGAGGGGGCAGGAGCTAGGGGAGCCGGCTAACCCTGGAAGCTGTAATTTCCACTTCCAAAGACAAGCTTTAGAACATCATTTAGAAAGCTAACCTTAGATATTATGGCTTTGGCTTCTTCTACGGTCTTCTTTAACACTTGCTTCATTTTTTCATTTGGAGCTGTTAAAAGAGGGGTGGGAAGGGATGGTAAAGAGACAGCCAGACGTTAAATACAGCTATCGTCTCTTGACAACTCTTCTTAAATAGCCCAATCACTCCGCGCGTCAGGAATGAGTGAGCGGGTGTGGGAGTATGGGACTGGGGTGGTGGACGCAGGACTGGTAGCTGTTAGGTGCGAGGTGTGGTATCGTCCTGACAGCAGAGACCTGGGGTGAGTGCACCTTATACAAAGTGGCAAAGGCGTAAAAAGGATAACTACCATTGGACTAGACAGGGGTTGGCAGGCATTTTCAAGAGTGGGCCAGAGTGGATATGGCTCTGCAGGCCACTAAGTCTGTTCCAGCAGTCGGCTCTGCGACCGAGGCACAAAAGCAGTCCTAGACACAACAAATGGGGTGGGTGCACCCCAACAGAACGTCACTTTCAAAAATAAGTGGCTAGCTGAATTTGGCCTGTGGGCCAACCCCCAGACAAAAAAGAAGAAAATTATTGAGTTGGAAGTTGAGAAGCAAAAACAGTGGAGATGGAACACTCTATTAATTGGACACTGAAGGTATTAGAAAAGAAATGGCTAACATTATCTGCTTAAAAGAGTATCCTAGTGCTTCCATATGGACTCGGCTCTGTACCCAAGTGGCATATCCTCGTCAAAGGAATCTACACTTTGCCACAGCATCTTCAAATAAATCCCAATGGCTGCCAGTCACAAAATCCAACTTCCAATTATTACCTCCCCCAAACCACTCAGTTGAACCATAACAGGTTGCCAGTATTCAACTATTTTTGACTTAGAAAAATGGTACGGTCATCTGGTTCATCTATTTAAAAGCTGATTGCTCCTTTGTAAGCGCCAGGAGGTCTGAGCCTCCCTTATCCATCTAGTTCATTCTAGACCAGGCTTGGCTTACAGGAGTAGCAGAGTGCAGCGACTCACAAGTTTGCCTGTAAAGACTCAGGTCAAGTTTTAAACCTTCAGGAACTGCATTCATATTTTACGGGCACAGCCCGGCATGAGCACAGAAGAACGCTCCATCACCTTGTCCATTCCTTCGTCCAAGATCATCCTTCTTAAATTCTGCACCTCCACTGGGAAGACACTTTTCTCCCCACTCGTCCTTCAGCTTCAGTTCTTCAATCTGCTCATCAGTCAGCCCTTGCATATTGGGAGGGAGAAAGACCCCAAGTTCTGCTAATTCTTGCATTTCTTCAAAACAAGAGAAAATGAGACAAGAGGTGTCACCATCATCATACCTTGTGGCCCCCCTTCACCGTAAGCTCCCGAGAAGCGAGGTGTCTTGCCCACCCACTTCAGGACTTTATTTCACAAACAGAACCACTTTGAGGGCAGTGGTGGCATTCTCGTCTCTCATGTGGGACAGTTTGATTCCTGGCCAAGGAACCTCAAGCACAGCCGCCACCTGCCTGTCAGTTGATCCTTGTGTGTGGCTTTGTGGCTGAGGAGGTTCCAGAGAAGCTGCCAGACTAAGGAGAAACCTGGTGACCTACTTCTCAAACTAAGCTAATGGAAACCCTACAGATCCCGACAGTCCAGTCTGAAAACCAGCGCAGGGATGGCGCAGGACGGGGAGCTGTTTTGTTCCAGTGGGCACAGGATGGCTATGGGCCCAGGGTGGACTCCACAGATGCTAGTAAAAGTCACCACTGGATACCTGCTAGACAGGAGCCATGGTGGAGCAGAGATTTCAGTTGGGCTGCTAACCCCAAGGTCTGTAGTTCGAAACCACCAGTTGCTCTTTGGGAGAAAGATGAGATGCTTCCTACTCCTGTAGAGTTACAGTCTGGGAACCCCCCGAGGCAGTTCCACCCAGTCCTCTAGGGAGACTGTGGTCCTAATGGATTGGATGACAGAGAGTTTGGTTTGGATGTGCCAGGCCTATCCTTGAGAGTTACCCAGTCAGCCCCATTTGACAAAGGGGCTGGTCTCACTCACCCTTGTCCTAAGATGTAAGGACTTGGTGCCCCTGCCCAAGTCACAGTTGACACTGCCCTCCCTCAATGTCTAGAATCACTCAATGCCTTCTTAGGACACTACTGTCAGCTACTACCCAGTCAGCCACCGACTCATGCACAGTAAACCAAACCCAGGCTGATTGTGGTAGTTACATAATCTGGTGCCAATTTGAGGATTAAGAGTATAGGGGTGGAATCTAGCCATCAATCAAGATATAACCAATGAGGTCTCCGTGTGGGCATGGCCTTCTCCTGAGAATTCTGGGAACTCCTGTATTTTCCTCCTTGGAGGCAAAAGAAGCTTTTCTCTGGTGACTCCCCGGGAAGCCACATGGACCTACCCTGATGCAGCCCTGGAAGCTGGAGAAGCCATGTGGAAACCCCTGCCAGCGCTGAGATGCTTAAACCCCAGTGGATTCAAAGACTTTCTACCCACTGACCTGTGATCATCCTGCATTTGGCGTCATTGCATGTGTTTCGTGAGTCTGAAGAAGACTTTATAGATTGGTATCGGGTACATGGGCTAATATCGGACTTACGGGATTGGACTGGACTGGCTTGGGATGCTTTCTTAATGTACAATTACCCTTTATATAAAACTCTCTCTGATACACATGTGTATTTCTATGGCTTTCTCTAGTCTACGCGGACTAATGCACTGATCCTGCACTGTTCCCATCAGCGTCTGTGGACTGGGCTGCTGTAATTCATGCAAGTTCCCTTTTATGATTAGGATAAGATGAAAGTTGAAGAGCAAGTTGGTTTTCCATACAACAATCCAGGCACATTGTGTTCAATGACAAACTACAGATCCCCCCACCCTCTTCCTCCTTGGGTTTACCACTGCCCTTGGTTCGAATTCCCTCCTACCTTGTGCGCTTTAGCCCTGGGCAACTACTGCCTTTTTGATCCCCCACAGCTGATGGCTCCAATGGGTGTGCACCTACCTCCTGGTGTACCTGCTCACCCTATCAGCCAACTAGTCATTTGGCTGAAATCTGAATCTGGGGGTGGGGTGGGGTGAGTTCAGTTTCAGGCTTGAGGGTGTCCAAGGCCCATTGTCTTGGGGGGTAGTTCTACCAGTCTCTCTAAGACCAGTAAGCCTCATCTTTTTTTTCCACACAATAAAACTGTCCTTGACCGGAAACGAAAGCCTCATCTTTCTTCAGTGGAGTGGCCGGTGGTTTCGAACTGCTGACCTTGCTGTAAAGCAGCCCAACACGCAACCCACTACACCACCAGGGCTGTTGGTCCACCTCAGGTGTGTCAAAGCATGAAATTTACTTAAAAAAAAACCCCACCTGGTTATGTTTCTGCCTCTCCCACTTGTTCACCTCATTACATCTGCTCTGCAGCCCCTTCACGGCTCCCTCCATTCTTCCCATTCCCACCACTTTAGTCACCAGCACCCCAAAGGTGGGCTTCGAGACACATGAACATTGGCCTGAGAGTTGGGTTGCCAGGAGCCAGCCTTATCTTCCGCAGCGCGTTTTCCGAGTGGTTTGCTGTCTCTTTATTCATCTCCGGTTCATTCCGGAGGGCGTGGGGGGGATCCCATTTCAACCCCAGCTGCTGCCAATCTTTTCATAGACGCGAGCCCCCGTCCCTAGTCTGCCCAGGAACGTCCTGCAGAGGCGGCCCAAACATCTCCAACTCAGAGCGCCCCATGTCTTCATCCCCCGGGCCCAGCGCCGTCCAGGCCTCCACCCCCGTCGGACGCGACCGTCCTGCCTGCCCGCAGACACCCCGGGGGAGCCAGGTTTGGCGGAGGTCAGGGTTCCCGGCCACACCTGAGCACAGGCGCTGCACCTTGAGCCTTCCGTTGTAGACCCGGGTCACCTGCACCGTGAGCTCTTCCAGCTCGGTGCTCCCGGGCGCCTGCAGCAGGAACTGGCTCTCGTCGCCACGCTTCACGTGCAGTAGAACCATGGCGGCCCTGGGAGGAGAGCCGGGACGCGCGGCCCACAGCCCGACACTCCGGCAGTAGTTTCCCGGGAGAGCAACAACGGGACCGGCCAACGGCAGCTAAGAAACCGGAACCAGGGCCGCAGACGCCACCGTGCGGCGGGAAACGGAACTCGCACCCGGAAGTGGCCGTTGCCAGGAACACTAATCAAACACAGACGCAGAGGGGCCACCCAATCAAAGTCAAAACCCTAGGGTAGGTTAGCTGGGGTGCACAGAAACCTGCAATCCGCCCCCCGAAGTAGCTGCCGCCAGGGACAAGCACCCGCAAAGATTGAGGCCCGTGGAGCCAGGCCCGCAGGTGGAGCAGGAGTCACGGAACGCCTGCCCCGGAAGTAGCAGTTGCCAGGCAACTCCCCAACAGCAGCTACAGGAAGGCAGGTGGGGCCTGCCCGGAGCCCGGAGCGCTTGAGATAATAGGGAGAAGGCTAAGAAAGGATGATGGTTGAGAATTTGCCTCCACATATGGAGAGGGCCTTGCGATTGTCGAGTGCGGCCGGTAACTCCAGGATTACAGTACAGTAGTTTAATAAACTTGAGAGGCGCATGCCCTGGCTTGTTTTCCTAGCTTCATTCCCAAGCTTAGAAGAGTAGAACTTTGCCACACTCGACGCTATGCCATTTGCCATCTTGAGGGCATCCCGTACTGTACTCCAGGCAGTCCCCATGCACCACGCTAAGGACTAGACCTCCCCACGTGAAGGCTCCTGGCCAACACACAATTGCACCATTATTATCCATGTCTTCAGTCTCCTGGCAGTCTTGCAGGGTGTTTTGGTTTAGGGTAACATGAATTTGCCTCCAAATGTGGAGGGGGCTGTTGGACTTAGAAACAAGGCTGGCATCTCCCGTATGACTGTACAGGCGTTTATTAAGGATTAACAGAGAAGGTGAGCCCAGGGCTGAAATAGGCTGGTCTCCTTGCCCAGTGGGAAGCAGAGGTTTCGATGGCCTCCGTGAACCCACCCAGTGCTGTATCATGCAGATGTGTGCTAGCAGAAAGCAGTACCGTGGCCATAATCGACTTCACAGAGCCTGTTTCTCCTATAATTTGCAATCTCTGAAAATCTTTCTTCTTGCTCTTATGAATAAATATTCTATGGAGAAGTGAAATAAATGAAGATAATGCCCTGGGTTAGAATTCTTGATTTAACCATAGGAACTGATCTATAATCCCTAAATTTCACTTGATATGTGTGTGCAAACTGTTCAGAGAATTGATTAAGAAAAAGTCTTCCCTTTTGAGCAAAGTAAAGAGGATACATATATTTATTTCATATGACAGTACATTTCACAGGCTATGTACAGGATGTATGCCACTGACTTTAATACTTTACTTCTATAAAGTATATAGTTATAAATAGTGTGTCACATAAGCAATAAAAGTCTTACATATAAACAGCAAACTACGATAGAGAATAAAGAATTCACAAAGAGATTCTTAGTGTCTAATTTCTGTTCTGTTTTTAACAGAACAGTAAATAATTTAATAATACACAGAAAAGTGGCTAGTTATTTGCAGCATACCTTTTTCGCCTTTATAACTTTGAACACTTTCAACAACTTGCCAACTGTGATTTTCCTGTTAAAGACTGAGCTGCTGCATGATATGTATACTTTAAACAGTAGTTTATATTCAGGAGGGAACACTGCTCACGGGACTGCATTTTGCACTAGTTAAGTTTACCTAATAATGAATTATCTTGTTAATGGAGAGCAAATAATATATATACTAACCACGTTGATGTTAAAGCCACAGTTTCAACAAGTTAATTCACATTTGAAGCACAATGCTTATAGTAATACTGGAGTTTCATATATACCACTGCTGAAATGATTAGACGCCCCATCCCTCCCACAAAACACCCCCACAATATAAAACTCACAAGAGTAATTTCTAACAGCAAATCCTGGCTGTTTAACAGAGAGAGGATTGTTTCTATAAATAACAGTGTTTTGCTAACACTTGCGCATTTAGAAAAGTGCCTTTATATTTCAAGTGCGATGCAGCTTACTGTGCTTTTAAATATTCTTAGCCATAAACTCTTCTTCCTGATCCTCCTCCAATGCACATCTTTAAAGGTCAATGTGGGCAGAGGAATCTAGGTGGACATATACAACCCTTTATATAAAAGGAATGTTACCATGGATCTTAGGGTAAAGATGATCTTAATGTAAACTGAGAACTATTGCTCAAGGAGTTGTCTGATTGAGTTTACGGACTGATATCAAAATACTAAGTTCTGTAAAAATCCTGTGGACTTCTTCATAAAATTAATAAAAGCAGGGTTAGTTGCATATTGGCAGTGCAGGAGACAAAATCCACGGCTATGTTGAGGCATCGCCACCAGAGACAAAGCAGCATCGTAGACGTGTAATCTCTAAAGGGGACTAAGACACTGAGTATGTGCCCAATCCAAACACACTGGGGATGGCTGCTTTTCCTGCACAAAGCAAATGCCCGGGTGAGAGCAGCAAAGACTAGAGTGTGGGAGGGAAACGGACAACAAATATCTTGATGTATGGAGAGAAGAGGGTAGGTTTAGACCTAGCCTTCCTAAGACTGGTGGTATGTGCCTTCCCTACCTATAAGGCCATAGTGCTTATTTTGAGAGGGCTGGGATAGCCATTCACATGGTGCCAGGACCTCGTCCCAGAGAGAAAAGTGTATGGAGGGGCCAGAGTAGAAAGTAACTGTTGGCGTGGTCGGAAGGAGTTGTTTGAGTAGACAGTTTGGAATGGCAGATAAATCAGGCTTTGTAGGGATACTATTCTAGCTAGAGAATAAAATGTCCAAATTACATGTCCCATTATCTTTTTGGTAATGATGTATTTTTAAAAGAATTTTTGTTAGAACTTTAATGTAAATATGTGATCCAAATTATATCCTAGAATTTAAACAGTTTGAGAGAGCTGTAACTGTGTGTGTGTGTGTGTGTGTATATATACACACACACATACACATATATATATATATATATACACACACACATGTATGTACTTGTATACTTTTAAAGCAATGCCTTCCCAAACGGTTCCAGTATAACTCAGGCAGATATTTGGTAAACATTCCTAAGTCCCAATTGTTGCTGAGTCTGAAATGGCGGCAGCAGTGTCAGCTAAGGTTGCTGGGACTTTCTGGAATGCTTGAAAGGAGACTCACAAAGAAACTCGGAACAAAGACTATTCTCTAAAGGAGTTTTAAGCATTTTTTTCTGGCTCCTACTCTCTTCTATCCATCTGAACAAAAACACATAAAAACTCCAGTTAATAATGAGATGGCTGTTTCCTTATTCCCAATGTGCACTTATTAAACTTTGTATACATTAAATAGTGGTATTTTTTGAAGGTACAGTGCGTTCAGTAATTCCTTATTGCACATAATGAATAACAAATGCCCAATTCTTCTGGCTATACCCTGACAAGCTAAAAAAAAACCCAAACCCAAACAACTACAACCCGGTAAAACACAAGTTTTCTACTGTGTCCCACTATCTTTCTGTAAAGTCCAGAGTGGGTGATGCCTTAGATGCCAAGGCTGTGAAAGGATCTCCTGGGGAGGCAGGGCCAGGTGGAGGGACAGGCGGTGGGGGTGGTCTTCTTGATGGCAGCACACAGAAGGAAGCATTTATACCTTTCTTCCAGTCATCATCAGGTGTCAGATTTGAGCCAGAAAGTGAACCTGGCTGGCTACCCAGGGAGCGTGGACCACCAGCTGACCATGACTTCTCTTTCATACCCAAATCCTCTTCCTCCTCAAAGGTTACCCATCCTCTTGGATTGCTAATTTTATCTGAGGATTGGCTCTGCAGCTCTGAACTGTCCTGGAAGCCATCAAGTGAACATGAAGGCTTGCTTTTGTGAGGCCCGAGTGCCTGCAGAGAAGGGGAAGGGCTGGCGGCAGCAAGGCCTTCTTTGGAGAACGATGAAAGGCCCGCCTCCGATTCCAGAGATTCAGCTCTGAAGGGGTTTCCGGGAGCAGCAGTCCTGTCTGTGAAGGGATTTGTGCTGGTCAAGGTAGTGATAAAAGGGTTTGGAGAACTTCGACTATTCTCCTGGGATTTACTCCGGGCTGGAATTGGAGGCATGGGAAGCATGCAATTTACAGAGCTCATGGTACCAACATGACTTTGTGTTGCTGAAGGCAACGGAATCAACCCTTCGGGGTTTGGGGTTAGAGCAGGTGAGGTGTGAACAGAGAGCTGAGCGTTTGATACAGCAAGCAGATTAAATGACAGATCTTCAAATGGGTCACTCTTCAAAGGTGGCTCTAGTTTGATATCAGAGACTCCATTTGTTTTCACCTGGAAAACAGAGAGGACACTGAGTAACCAGAGTTTATATTTACCCTTCACATCCCTTTGCTTCCTGTCTCAATTGTTCTTCATTTTAAGGGCCAGGAATACAAATCTGGAAATGAAAAAGCAGCTTTGTGTACTTTGCTACTCCGGTGGTTTAAGTAAAATAATAGAGCTAAAGTCTAATTATTTTAAACTTTTCTGAATAAATCTTTCTTCTACATAAATTTTTTTTAATGCCAAAGAAATGGAATAGCACTCACGGCATGCCAGTATTGAAATGGTAAATGGAGAGACCTGCACAGAATTAGCCACTGACTTTTGTCCTTGTTCAGTCCTATCACAGGTCAGCAGGGACAGAAGTCCAGGTGCAGCACTTCCAACACCCGTCTAGGAGGATGATGTGGTCTCACTGCTCCTATCTTCATGTAATGTCACATGAAAATTCAACTTATGGACAAAAATTTAGTTGTATTTTAATATAGTTGTATTCCTAAGTTGAAGACAGTACATCTTTTCCTTTTCTCCTTGGAAGCAATGCATTTTTCTAGCATTCTTTGCCTTTTAATATGAAGTTCTCCTTTCAGAATAAGCAATGTAAATCACCCCACAGCTTTTCTGAACTGTTTCTCATCGTATAAACATATTCCACAGCAGATATGCTTATAATAACCAATTGTAACCATTTCCTTGATATCAGAGGCGAAAAATATCCCATTTTCTATTTGGCATATTAATTCTAAAGTACCACAATGAAGCTGTGCTCAGCGCAAAGACAGATCTCTCCCAGTGCCAGAGTTGGTCATGAACTCCTGCTGAGTTATTTTAGTCATAAAAAGTCCACACTGTCCCCAGAGTGCCTCTGTGCCTAGTTCATGAAGAGCCAGTTGGAACAGAACCAGGCTACCGTGCTCAACAAATCCAAAGGTTCTTCTGGGAAACAAAACCCTGATCCAGGCCTCATGAACAATTAAATTTTTCAGGCACTTCATTATTCCTTAAAACAGACAACAAAAACCCCTATATAATTGTTACAGTTGGATAGACGACAGCCATTTATGCCAACTTCTAGGAAAAGAAACACAAAAAGAACTTTTAGGTTGAAAAGGGTTGGTGGGAAAGCGCATGCTTGTTGTAGTCCCCCAGTCCACCAGCCCTCCCCCCTCCCACTCAGAGAACAGGTATGCTGTCCTAATAAAATGACACCACCCAAAATACTAAAATCATGTTAACGAAAAACAACTGGTTTTTCATGAAATACATTGGAAAAAAAGTCTAGTAGCCCCAATGAAATGTAATTGCGTGACTTTACACAATTGATGTATGTATGGATTGTGATAAGAGTTGTATGAGCCCCTAATAAAATGATTTTTTTTAAAAAGAAGAAATGTAATTGCATATTATAAAACGCCAATTTAGGCACCATTTAGAATAGGAAAAATAAAGAACATGAATATTCCCCTCCAAAAGGAAATTATGTAGATAACTTGGTAAGTGAATACCATTCAAGTATCTGAGTTATTCAACTGCATAACATTATACTGAATGTATTGAATGAACAAGGGGCTTTTTCTTTAAATTTAATAAATGTATACAAAATAAAAGGGTAAGTATGTCACAAGTTGAAATATTGTAGCATAAGTGTCTAAAAGGTAAGCTGACCTATAGGAAGGTATTTAAAAAGTTTATGGAAAAATTCCATTATTGTTCAATTCCACTTTTCCATGAATTATTTAAAGCCTTTTTGTATATATGAAATTATACTTCAGAAACTAATTTATCAGAGGCACCATAAAATTATAATTAACTATATTATTGGTAATCTCTGGATTACTTCTGATTATGAAAATAAAACAGATTTACTTAATTAGACCTGGGGACATACTCTCTCAAGGCAAATTGAATAGCTCACAATATCGACATAATAGAACTGAGAATTTTATTCTTTGCATAGCTTAAGGTAGTTGCTCATTATACGTAAATGCTATTTAAAAAATATCTTTCTTTTCCTATGTAAGAAAAACATTATTCCAAAATAAGTTAATGGTAATTTGGTAGATGCAGTGTCATTCTGCCCAATCAGACTTGAAATTACAATGAGAGCCACATCATCGTTCAGTCTAAGTAGGATCTGTGATGACTTGACAATAAAGTGATTATATTTTGACCAAGAAAGGTGTTGGAAGGATCTTGGAATAATTCTATTATAATCTTAACTTTAATCTTTTTAAACCATCAATCCTTTCTTAACAAAAAGAATCTTGCTGGGCAAACTACAGGCAGTCCCTGGATGATGAATGAATTCTGTTCCTAAATTTGTTTTTAAATTGAGTATGTCCCTAAATTAGAGTGGGTACAGTTGTATCTGTTTATCAGCTGGTCAAACGTTTGTCTGAGTATACAGATCACCTTCAAATGCATAAAAAAGTAAAGAACCACTCAGAAAAGGAGGACGAGGATGGCTGCACAAATCAAAGACCAATGTCATGAAACTGTACAAGTAGAAACTATAGAAAAAAAATTTTTTTTGCATAGTGTCAAAAACAACAAAAGAAATAAAATTTAGGAAAAACAAGCAAACAAACCTGGAGAATTCTATCCGATTCTGACACACCTGGGTCTCCCTGATAGGAATCAACTCCACAGCAACTCTGGTTTTTTAACATATACTCTAAATATAACTTCATTGTGTGAGCAAATGAATTTGCAAAATGAACACCTTCTGAGAAGTGTGTCTTCTCTTATTGAGAGATCTTATTTCTCGATAAGACCCTGCAAATCACAGGTGAGGAAACTGGCGTCCAGTAAGTTGAGACTCCTATTGCCTAAGAAACGAATGCTTAAAATCAGGCGAGATGAACAAGAGCGAGTGCTGGTACTGCTGTCACCCAGAAGCTTCTTCAATTAACTGCAGACACCAATAAGAACTGAAACCAGTGTCTCAGAAGGCTATGCCCGATGTCTGTAAACTATGACCCAGCCAGCCCCGTTTTTGTAACTAAAACATAAAAAAAAATCCCAATACACTAAAAATATCTTTAACATAAGTTATGAGTTATGATAATTTTTGATGCACTCATGAGCAATTATATGAAGTTCAAATTTGTAATATAATACGCTTGGCCAGAGGTTGATTCATAGCTACAGTTGCATGTTAAATTAGATGCTTGTAACCTAGGGACTGCCTGTAGCTAGGGGAAAACTGCTAAAAGAAAATCTAAAAACCATGACGGCATTTTGTGTCTATGCCGTTCTGTCATTTCACAATTAGGGCACTGTTAAAATCGAGAACCAGGCTTTCTTACATCTAAATCTTACCTCTTTGGAGCTACATATTTTAGTTTTGTTAATTTTCATTAAAATTCAAGAAAAAAATTGTAAAGCATTAGCAAGAAACACAAATGGTTCCTAAAAATTTAAATGCTAAGAAAAATAAAAAACAAATTTTATGGTACAGTAATAGGGTATATTAATACAGACAGGTGGTTTTTAAAAATGAGTGACTTTTAGATGTATGAAGCAGAAGATTCATACATCTAATGGGCTAGGACAGATGAAAAGCACATAAAAGGTTGATAATAGTCAGATACCTGTTACCCTGATGGTTGCTCCTGCTTTGAGAAAGGGAACACAGACAGCAAAGGAAAGAGTTAGGACAATCCCAGACACACCGGCCACCTAACAAGTCAGTCTTTAAAAGGCTCTACTCCTACACTATACACAGAATCTAAGAGCAATGGTATTTATGGGTTACAACTTTACTTGAAGCAACAATTCCAATTCCTTTTATAATTTTGAGTGAAAAATTCATTATTGCACTAAGGCCCAGAGTTAAATTTTGTCTGAGGTGGATTACTAACTAGTTTTGCTATTTCACAAATACATTGTAAAAAGACTAAAATCTTTTCGGCAGCTTAGGATAACCTATGGATTGGCCACTTTCAGAGAAAATGTACAAATGACATCACTCTGTAAAAGGACTAGTCCACTGAAAATTAGTATTTATTTAATAAATGATTGATCTGGACCTGCTCCATATTTCTCAAATTTTCTCAAGGATGGTATTATCATTAATGCACCGTATGATTTAAACAAGGTAAGAAACTAGATTCTAACTTTGCATTTAAAAATAAAAGCCATCTTAATCTTCCTGTACAAGAGCCCTGGTGGCACAGTGGTTACGCGGTTTGGCTGCTAACTGAAAGGTTGCTCGTTTGAATGCCCCAATCACCAGCAACTCTGTGGGGAAAGATGAGGCTTTCTGTTCTTGTCAAGATTCACAGCCTTGGAAACCCCATGGTGAATGGGACTCCTGCTGGGAGTCCAAAATGACTACAATGACTTGGAATAAGAGAGGAAACCTGGTGTTGGCTCTTATTTCTGTAAAGAACCAAAGCTCACACTAGAGAAAATGAGGATTATCTATGTTGTCTGAAAATTCACCACACTGCACTAGTCTAGGGGTCGGTTTGATCCATCTTTCTCTCCAGGAAGTAAAAGCCACGACAAATTTGTCAGCCCGGGGCAATAAGCAAAATAAATTTGTGCTGTTCATGCTAATTTAATAACTCTCCAAAGTAAATAATGCCTGGAGAGAGGGAGGCAAAATCGTAAACACTTAAAAAACTGAACATGAGAAAACACCCTGGAAACTAGTTGGAAATGGTCCACAGAGCCCTGATTTAGGGTCACTCTCTGAGAACCCCTGATCTAACCAGACATTTAGTATGTGACTGGTCTGTGAGGTCAAATGACACTCATTAGTCAAAGTCTTATCTCAAGATGCTATTAATATCAAGACAGCAGAATTTTAAAAAAACCAAAGCTCATGTTTACTTCTTGTAAAAACTATCATTACAATAAGTATGTTCGAAGGCTATTCTATACATCCACATCAAAAAATGATGTTTTATTTAATAGTGAGACTTACTTGCTGTTGTGAGGAAGTTTCTGAAGGGAGGTTATGGGATGACCTGCTTCGAGGCGGTGGCTGGGGTGGAGTTTCCAAAACTGGCTGTGGGGCCGACTGAGGCAAAGGTGCTGTCATCGGGACAAGAGGCTCCTGCATCTTCTGAACAGGTGCGGGCAGAGAAGGCTGCACAGGAGGGGCAGTCTGAGGCTTCAGTGGTTCAGGAAGGTATGCCGAACCTGAAAACAAAAATCATTTTTAGATGTCAGATGTTTTCTAGAAAACTGAGGCTTTTCACCTCCTTTAAAGGAGGAGCTCTAGTGACCCTGACATATAAGCATTAGACATCAACCACAAGGTCAGCAGTTCAAATCCCAAAGTAGCTCTGCCAGGGTTTCTCTACTCATAAAGATTTACAGTCTTGGAAACTATATAAGGTTGCTATGAGTCGGAATGGACTCAATAGCAGTGGGGTTAGTTTAATGAACTATCAAGACATTCTATATTCTTTTTCCAACAAGAAGCTTTATTTCCTGTGGTATTTACTAAAGGAAAGAGATCCAGATTTGACTACGCTGTGCAAAGTGGAAGGTTACAGAAGGGAAAAAAAACAAGAAAGACTAGGGAAGACATTGGTCTTCTGAATACAGTTTCTACCTTTAGGTGTTTCCGATGGTTTGCTTTGACTTTCAGGAGTCAGTCTTCCAGCAGACACCCGAGCATGGCTCTGTGGGGCACTAATCACTCCAGCACGGGGTGGAATCATCTACAAATGGGAAATGTAACATTTGAGATGCTTGTTTTTTAACGACAGATGAGATTCTGTGAAAATATCTGCTTTTGCATCACCTTGAAGCTCCTATTATTATTCCCCAACCTGTTACTTTACTTTCTCTTTAGAGTTACAATTGATATATTGTACATTCTTCTTATTCTTTTTAAACTACTGTGAATTGGCTTACTATGTGCCAGGCATAGTAATAAGCACTGTATAGGTATTCTCGTTTAAGCTTCAAAATAGGTAGGTCGGCATTATTGTATCACCCCTATCTCAAGATGAAGGAGCCCTGCTGACAGAGCAGTTACAATCTGGGCTGCTAACCACAAGGTCAGCAGTTCAAAAAGCACCAGCTGCTCCACAGGAGAAAGACCAGACTTTCTACTCTGGAAAGAGTTACAGAATTGGAAACCCACAGGGACAGTTCTATCCTGTTTTATAGGGTCCCTATGAGTCGGAATCCACTTGATGGCAGGGAGTCTAGATCTCAGAATGAGAGCACGTATGTAACCTACCCAAGATCAAACAGGTAGAAAATAAGAGCTAGGATCCAAACTCAGTCTGACCGCAGGGCACTTGCTCTGAATCACTGTGGACCACAGCCCCAGTTGGTCTGGGAGAATGTTAAAGTTCACCAGGACCAGAGAAAGATGTATTTGGAGTAATTAAGAGGCTTACAAACAATCACACTCTGAATTTTTCCCTCTAGAAACAAGTAAATCTCTGGAAAGACTAACTCAATATTCTAAATTAAATACATTAAATAAATTAAAGACACATTGCTGAAAAAAAATTCATTTCTGCAGGCTCTAAGCTCACAATCTTATTTTAACTAGAAGTTATAGTATTATTTCAATCTCATCAAATTCTTGTTAGTATGTTGGTGTTATCAGAATGCTAATTAAAATCCTTCTTAATAAAGAATGGATTCATAATCTCATGATTTTATGAGATAAAGATAAAAAGCTATCCAAATGTATCATGCTTTACATATTTAGTACTGCGCAATTTCTTTTTGACCATTTCAGCATTATCACTTTCATCCAAATAATATAGTAGGCTTAGTACTTTTGAAGAGTATGCTAATATAAAATATAATGTTCATGTTGAAAGGCACTTTATAGATTATCTATTGCAGTTCCTTCACTTTAGTTACATTAACTGAGGCCTTGAAAGGCCACATGATTTCTCCTGGGTAGCAAAATGAACAGCAGTAAGTTTAGGCCTAGAAAATGGACTCCTTGGTACCCAGGCCTGGTGTTACCTACCGGTCTGGGGGCACTGATTCCAGCAGGCACTGGGCCTGAGAGTCCTGCTTGAGGGGAAGGCTGATTACGCCCTGGAACACAGACATCAAATCATGGAGTTAAGGAAAAATAAAAGAAGCATGAAACCATGTACTTTCAGTCCAAGTGTATATTTCACTGTTCAGTTTTAATGCTAAGTAGCTAAATTCAAGTGTTTTACCTATATTATCTTTCCGTGACATTCCAGGGCTTTTGGGTGCTTTGAAGCAGGAAGGAAAAAAAAATTAGTCAAAGACAAAGGAATATTGCATAACATCCACTGGCTGTTTCATTACCAGCAGAAATGGGAGCATGAGATGGTGACAAAACAAAGTAGTTTGTGTTGGATAATGATGAAGGATATTATTATTATTATCAGTGCAAAGTGAAACAGTCCAAAGGAGAAAAAATAGAAGACTTACAGACACATTCAAGGGAGACAAGTTTAGCCCTTTATCTACTTCTACACTCAGAAGGTCACTTTTAAAATCTGATTTTCCCAACAGAGCTCTCTTCTATGGATCTACACAAATATAGTCAGCTTTTTTTTTTAATAGTCAGCTTTTGTGCACGGTCGGAGTTTGTGTCCACGATCACAGAAGATAGCACTACTGTTCCTCAGACACCGACAGATTGCTTGGTGAATAAAAGACAGAATTACTTTTTAAAATTGGGTTCCTATCAATTCTTTTAAGGCTTCATGATGTAGATCTCATTAGGGCAAAAATACTCTAATAATGAGGTCTCCAGATTTCTTTAACTAGTCCTATGACTAAGGTAGGAAACAGGCACACCTTACTATCAAATACCTATCTACGGATGACATAGTGAAAAACAGCTGAGAGAAGAATGAAATAAGTTGCTTCTAGGGTCAAAAAGAGTAAAAGGGACAACAAAGAATCATCACCAACTCAAAGGCAATTGTTAAATGAAATATATCAGTCCTTTAATAACTATAATCTTAATGAATGGCCTTCAATTTTGGTGTTCTATTAAACAAATCTGCCTCAGCATCATTATACATTAAAAACATGTATAATAAATAGCATATTCTTAGATATGAATATTATGAATATAAACAATTGTTAGTTTAATCATAGTAGCTAATGTTTAATCTTCCAGGTTTAGTATAGTACAATATATGAAACATTTGACTTATTTTTAAAGTCTTAAAACACAATAGTAATTTCACTTCCTACTCCAGTGTATTAGGAGCCCAGGTGAGGCAGTGGGCATTGGCTGCTAACTGAAAGGGTGGTGCTTTGAACTCACCAGTCACTCAAGAGAGAGATTAAACGATCAACTTCTGCAAAGATCTACAGTCTTGAAAACCCTATGGAGAAATTCTACTTTTTCCTACAAGATTACTGAGTTGGAATTGACTGCACAGCAATGGGTTTTTGTACTTAAGTATTTAAGAAACAGCACAAAACAACATGAGAACTTCAGGGTAATTAAACAGATATCCATTAGAAACTATATACAACATAGAATGAGACAAAGAAGAAAATACAAGGTTACACAGTATACATAAGGAGGGCAAGGGGAAGTTTACAATTGGGCTAAGAAAATATTTAGTATGCCTTTAAACAATGGAGGGGCTGCCGCTTACAAATAAAATGAGAGGTCAATTGCTGTAATGCAAGAATCTGTTACCTTCCATCTCTCTCCTAGCTACCCCAGGACTGGGAGGGGCTCCAGCACCTTTTTAAAGAAAGAACAGAAGCTATGTATACACACACACATATCTATTGTTCAGGGCCCACAGTACAGAATGAAAGGCATACACACAAAACTTCTGCATTAAACTTACTTTTACAAAGGGCTCATTAACTAAAACAACTTTATAGGCCTGGTTCACTCCTGGGTCCATTTCCGAGGAACAGAAGTGTGATGGCAGTTTTCCTCTTACAGCTGAGATTATTTGCAGAGGAGAATTCCAATTTCTAAGTGCACAAAGGAGCCCAGGTGGTGCCGAGGTTAAGTTCTAACATTCAGCTGCTAACTGAGAAGCCCACTGCTTGAAATCACCAGCCACTCTGCAGGAGAAAGCTCTGGCAAACTACTTCTGTGAAGATTTATAGCCTTGGAAACCTGACAGGGCGTTTATGAGTCCGAATCGAGTGATGTCCTTTTTGCTATTGCTGTGCCATAGGCTCTCAATCCTTGGTGAATTTTAAAAAGCTCTGAAGATTACTCCGGTGATTTTATCCAAGTCTACCACCTTAAAGAAGTTCTTGGCTTATTGGGTAAAATATATTGCAAGTACTACCTATAAATATTCTCCTTAGGTTACGGGGGGAAAAAGACATGTACAAATTTGCTGATTGTTTTCCTAATCATAGCAGAAGGTAAATAGAGTTTATCAGGCAAGTTCAAAAAGCAGGGTTTTGAACCAGGAAAAAAAAATCTTTGTTGTTAAGTCAATGGAAAAATTATCACCTATCAGTAGAGGTACACCTCACTTTATTGGACTTTGTAGATTTGTACTTTTTATAAATGGAAGGTTTATGGAAACCCTACATTGAATAAGTCATTGTTGCCATTTTCCAACACTCTGTGCTCACATCAATTGTGTTTCATCTTTTGGTAATGCTCACAATATTTCAAACTTTCTCATAAGGCTATTGCATACTTAGTAACTACATTTACACATACTGGAACACCCCCAAAAAGAGGTTTTTTGGGTGTGACTCCCTTTCTTGCAACCTTCACTTTTCTTGCATGGTCTAGTTCTAAACTTGCAATATCTCAATATCCTGCATTTTGGAGAGTAGTGCTGAAATTATTTGGTTATTTTTATTACATAAGACTATTAAAGTCTATACATAAACAAAGCCAGTCTGTACTACTGTTTGGCATTGGTCACCAATGCCACCGGGCAGATAGCGTAGAAAGAAGTCAGCTACACATGTACAGTGGGCTTCAAGTAACATTAAAGTTAATTTGCAAAAGCTCTTCTGCTGAATCTGCCTCATCCTTTCATGAGAACTAGATTAAATCAATCTGTCAAATGTTTATTTCTGACTGAGCTTTGTGAGTTTTCACAAGCGTGAAAGTAAGTTTAAAGTAAGCTTAATCCAAATTAACACTGGAAATTAAAAATGATGCACTCATTATTTAAAAATGCATTATAGGTGGAAAAAGAACAAAGGAAATCCCATTAGCTCTTAAATTTAAAAAATGAAGCATGAATTTTATGACTCAAATTATGATAGAGCCATGTAAAGTGAAAAGTACATTTCAGATAACTGTAAGAACATCCCAAATTAAACACTTGGAAGTGATTTGTGTTCACTGTACCTGAATCCCTTTTGAAATTAACATGGCTTTACAGAATTAAATATTTACAACCCAAGTGACAATATTTATCAATAAAAAGTGCTCTAATAATGTACTGAGTCTGGTGATAGAGTGACTTGGCTCAGCTCTTTTTGCCTGCAGAAGACAAATCCCACACATGACTGAAACCAAACTCTGGCCTTTCACTTGACAGCAAGACAAGGTAATTATGGAGCTATTTTAACTTGGTGAATTAATGTCTTTCACCTTGACTTCTCTAAAGTCTATTTCAGTTATATAGATGATCAAACTCCAAATCACAACTGAACCTATGATCTATACATTATAACAATGTAAACTATTACCTCCAAATTCTTTTCTAGCAGGTGCAGGACTCCTAGCCCCTTATAGTTCATAAGAAAAGTACGCAGCAGAAAGAAAATGACATTAGACAAAGAATTGAGATGTCAGAGATTTACTACAAATTCATTATTTCAAGCGTCATGTAGGAAGTACAAATTAGTAACTAGGTATTATTATTTATGAAACCTTTTAAAATATATATACTTGTAATGATTTAAGATGACACTATTCATTTAAAAGAACATTTAAATGAACATACAAAACTATTCAATTGAATAAGTATATTTATGTTTTTCAGTTCTAATTATAAATTTCATAGAAACTAGTAAACTAATGAAATTATGCTTTAAAAAGTCAGAACTGAATATTTTGGGAAATAAAACCAAATTTACCAAATAATAATTCACATGCTCAACTATATTAAATTAGTAAAATGCAAAACCAAGCACCGTACGTACACTTGTAAAGTGGCAGCTACAAACACATGTTAGAGAAATCCAGTGGATTACCACTCTTTCCCTGTTGTCACACCTACCAGCCTACGGTGTTCTGTGGGGAAAAGCTGAAGCAGCAGCAACAAATGATACAACAAAATTATAGTAAGCTGGAGATTTGAAAGCACATCAAACACTTTGAAATAGGGTAGAGAATTTTAAGTCTGGGAAAAACGAGCAGAAAATGTTTTCTTACCTGAAGGAGGTGGTGGCCTTTGTGGGGGGGAGGGACGTGGCGGAGGAGCAACTGGGCGGGGGGGAGGAGGCCGTTTGGGCTCTAAGGTCTGAGAAGAATCTTTTTGCTGCAATTGTGTTGCTGGCTGATTGTCAACCGGAGAACCTGTAACAATTTACATTTATTATGGAATAAGATCAGACCCCAGACTCTCTTGGCAGAAAGGTATCAAGAACCTCATTTATGTAATGCTTGTACACATAAAAATTTCTACTTTGCTGATTTTCTAAGTTGGCACATATTGAGTAAAGAGGTGACACACATTATCAGTGTGAATGACATAAGCAATCCTACCATTTTATCATCATTTTGTATGTCAAAAATAATGAAGGTTCTATTTTGATTGTTAGCTGGACCTGGGTCCCTGGTGCTGAAAACTAAGTTTGTTTGAGTTACGTTGTAAGCAGCATGCTGGCTGTCACGGATAAGAAACAAAGGGGAGTTTCTTCCTTTCTCTCTCCCTTAGCTGATCTTGAATCTAATCTAATGAAGCCAGTCTTCTAGGAGTAGAATAGAAACATTAGAAAAAATTTTGAGACAAGAATATAACAAGCACATAGATCCAAGTTTCAGAGTGAATTCTGACTTCAGGTGTGTCACTGTAGAACTGTGCTCTACCGAGTTTCAATGGCTGATGACTTGACGTCAACAGTAGGCCTTTCTTCCAAGGTGCCCTGGGTGGGCCCACGCCTCCGTCCTTTTGGCTTGCAGGGATGCACCTTAGCTGTTTGTTATAGACTGACGATGTTGCTGTGTGTCATCTAGCTGATTCCAATGTGGAGCAATCCTACAAGACAGAGTACAACTGCCTCCAGAATTTCTTGGGCCAGGTCTTCTCCCCAGCAGTGCCTGGTGAGTTCAAACATTGTGCCACAGGACTGCTTGTATTCACGTCAGTTCAAGTCAATGGGATTTTGGCAGAGTGTTTTTACCATGTTGTTTCTGTTATTAGTTATCATTAATGACCACAATAAAAAAAACTGTCGATTTTTTAAAGAAACAGACAAACCTGACTATCTAGACAATGGATTTTGAACTTTCCCATCAATCACAGTGATGATGAGGCCTTCCTTCCCAGTGAGGGCTTATCGTCTACAATTAGGTTTCCTCCTTTGTATACATAGAGCACAGGATAACCAAGAGTGCTCCCTAAAGGATATTCAAGTGCGTCAGAGGTCTAATCCTGCGAAACCAAACGCTCTGGGTAAAAGAAAGTTACACATAGCATTACAATAAAACCCGTACTTTGTGAACTTGGAGGACCCGGCGTTCTCAACGGTGCACGGCTTGGTCTTATGGGAAGGGACGGTACAGGACCTTCCCCTATGGTAGGTGACTGGCAGGGACTGGTCCGGGGTGAAGAGCTCGGAGAAGTGCCAAGGGCAGAGCTTGAAGATGGCTGGAGATGCTGAGGAAGAATTTCCTCAACCTCAGCACTATAGTCGTCAACATCACCTGAGGAAAAACCAGGTCATAGCAGATAGCAACATTTAACTTTCTCAGAGATTCCACTCCCCCCACAACCCACGCCTAGAAGGGTTAAACACACCAAACAAACAGACATCACAAACACAAGTGAAATAAGTTGAGAGACATCTAGAAACAAAATTTCTACGTATGGATCCAGAATTAGTGCAAACTCTCTTGGAAACCCTGTAGGGCAATTCTACTCGGTCCTTTGGGGTCACTGATTCACAGTTGACTTGATGACGGTGGTTTGAGTCTTGGTGTATTGATGACGGCTCAGTTTACTGCTGTCCTTCCTAAACCTCCCTCCAGTGCTCTATGGAACTGCTCTGCGTCCACCTGGGTCTGGCACACAAACTTACATATAACCACAATCACAAACCCTTCCTTCCAAGTCTCCTCATTCCTCCGTACCCTCAGGCTCCTCCGACCTGACATACACTGTTGACGGAATGTCCTGCGGCCTCCTCTGCATCCCTGTTACCTCAGGATTGGAAAGTGGGGTCAGGGTTTACCTTCCAACCAAATTCTAATTCCAGAACATTATCTTCCAAAAGCAAACACAGAATTCTACTTCTCTGAGGCTATGACACTGGAATTTTGTAACGCTCTTCACCCCCTTGTTGCAATCATTGCCACCCTCCTTCTTGTGGTCACCTGAGCCTACTCACGAGGACTGAACAGAGAGCAAGATGGAAAGTTGAGTCCTACCATCTTTTGGGGACATCAAAGTCCATGGGGACAGCCCATTCAACACTGACATAAGTGATATGGTCTTATGCTTACTGACCCTCACCTCCAGTCCAAACACAGACTCTCCAGACACTGTGGCCCTTCAAACAGCACTACCCCTGACACAGTAAGCTCCAATTTAGTAACCACCTCCCAGGATTTCAGCTCTCTGCTTCAGATCTTTTGACTTCATCAGAATCCCTCTAGGGTGGCCCACATCTGATATATTTACTGTCTTCTCTATTTAGCTCTGCTGTCTATGGTTTTTAACCTCAAACATTTCTTTACTTCACTATTCTTCCATCACACCTGCTTGACAAAACCCCAGCCCTGGGTTAATTCTATTTACTCCTTCTGTAACAACAACTCAACTGTTGCTGTTGCTGTTAAAAAAAAAAAAGAGAGAGAGATATCCTGATGATTATAGTCACATTATAAGTGTGTGACTTCACACATCATGCCGTGTGAAGCTGTTGGTAATCTATGGTCGGCGATCCTTTGTCTCAATTCTACTCAAACCGTATGCTGTCCCCCCCAGTTCCGCTGGGAGCTTTCCCTCTAAACTTTGTAGAGAAAAGAGAAGCCAGAGTGAGAGCCCCTTCAACAACCTGTCCCTGCAACAGCACTCAGGTACTGGGGTAGATGGAATGAAAGAAGTTCAACCCCACTCGTTTACCCAGCCACCTTGCTCTATCAATTATTCTGCCTTGCCCTTCCCCAATATTGTCAACCCCTTATCAACTCTGCCAGAACTTAAAAAAAAAAAACAGCATTAGGCAGTACATTGACAGGGAAGTGTATGCGGCAGTACATTGACAAGGAACTGACAAAAGTTTCAGCCAGATTCAGAAGAGGATGTGGAACAGGGTTATCATTGCTGATGTCAAATGGCTCAAAGCAGAGACTACCAGAGAGATGTTTACTTGTGTTTTATTGAGTATGCAAAGACAATTGATATGTAAACTATAAGAAACTATGGATAATTTTGAGAAGAATGGAGATTCCAGAATACTTCATGGTACTCATAAGAAACTTGTACATGGATGAAGAGGCAGTTGTACAACCAGAACAAGGTATGTATACTTCATGGTTTAAAATCAGGAGAGAGGTGTGTGTCAGGGTTGTATCCCCTCACCATATTTAGTCAATCTGTGTGCTGAGCAAATCATCAGAGAAGATGGTGTTTTTTTTTTTGGTTTTTTTTTTTCAGAGAAGATGGTTTTTATGAAGAGTGTGGTACCATGATTGGAAGAGGCTTATTAACAACCTGGGATATGCAGATGAAATAATCTTTCTTGTTGAAAGCGAGGAGGACTTGAGGCACTTGCTTATGAAGATCAAGGATTGCAGCCTTTAGTATGGCTTGTGACAATGTAAAAAAACCCAAATTCTCACAACAGTACCTATAGGTAACATCATGATAAACGGAGAAAAGATTGAAGTTGTCAAGGATTTTGTCTTGCTCGGCTTCACAATCAATGCTCATGGAAGCAGCAATCAAGAGATAAAAAGACTGACTGGATTAGGTAGATCTGCTGTACAAGAGTACAAGACTTCTTTGGAGTATTGAAAAATAAGGATGTTACTCTGAGGAATAAGGTGTGCCTGACCCCAGCCATGTTATTTGACAATGCCTCATATGCACGTGAAAGTTGGACAGTGAATAATGAAGACTGTAGAATAGATGCATTTGAATTGTGGTGCTGGAGAAGAATATTCAAGTGCCATAGACTGCTATAAAAGGACAAACGGATCTGTCTTGGAAGAAGTACAGCCCAAATGCTCCTTAGAGGCAAGGATGGCAAGACATCTTGCCAGAAGAGACCACTCCTGGTGAAACACATATCATGCTTGTTAAAGTAGAGGGGCAGCAAAAGAGAGGAGGGTCCTCAAGGAGATGGATTGACACAGTGGCTGCAACAATGAGCGCGGGTGTGGGAATGATTGTGCAGACACTGCAGGACCCTGCAGTGTTCCCTTCTGTTTTGCATAGGATCGCTATGGGTTGAAACCAACTCAATTGCACCTAAAAACAACAACAGAGGATTACTTTCTCCCTTCTCTACACAATCCTTCCAGACAATATAAAAATGCCTAAGGTTTTAACCATCAGAAGAGCTACCTCAGGAGTCCAGAACGCTCATGAGTGAGTACCAGACCTACATATCCAACAGTTAGCACCAGCACGTGATCCACTCCCCGGATACGTCAAATCATCTTATTCAAAACCAAATCCAGCACACATAAGACAGACTCAAACACCTCTTAGCCATAACCAAACACCTCCTGGGGCTGGGATCCTGAGCTCGAGGGCTAGGGACCATCTTCTCAGAAGTTATCTGGGTCACCTGGCTTAACACAGTTCACAGGGATCATGTTCTACATTCTACATTGATGGGTAGTGACTAGGGTCTTGAGTGTTTGCAAGTTTCAACTATTGGTCTCTTTCTGTCCCAAGCAGAGAAGAGTGGAGAAGACAAAAGACTGAAGGAAACAATTAGTCTAAAGGACTAATGAACCACTCACCTGATGGTGACCAGTCAGCACCACTGACAGCGCTTACTTGGATCTCAACAGAAAATATGGAATAAATGAGAAGAAAAGACAAGAGAAATTCACAGGAAAACAACAGACTTACTATTCTAAGACTGGCGGATTCCCCAAGACGGTGGCCCTTATACATCCTTCCAATTTAGAAGTGAAGCCACTCCTGGAGATTACTCTTCAGTCAGATAAAGTGAGCGATAACACCGGGGAGGAAATGCTCCTCAGAACAATCAACTATACAAGACCAAAGGGCAGTGTTTGTCTCAAAGCAAAGCTCAGAAGGCAGGAAGAAGTAAGAAAACTAAGCAAGCACATGAAACCCAAGTGGAAATGGAGTGAATGTTGGCATACGGAGATTTCGAGCAATCTCTGTATAAACTGCTGATTGGGAAACAAATGTGCTCTGTAAATGTTCACCTGAAAGGCAATATTAAAGCAACAGCAACAACAAATTCATTTCCCGTCTCACATCTGTTCCTCCTTTTGTAAAATCAACTTCCTATCTCCATTCCCCCATTGGGGCTCTGTTCCTGAGTCTTCTTCCTAGATTATTCTTCTCAACCTTCTGTAATCTGTTTCTTCCTCAGCCTTCAGATTTTCAAGCTGAATTTCAATTCCCATCTTCCCCAACTTTTCAATTTCACGTTAAGCATCTCCCCATAAACTCCTAAACACCCTTGAATTCATGCCACTTTATTACAATTCAGTACTTATTTGTATGTAACATGCATTAAGTTGTGAGTTCAATAAGGGCCAGGACCACATCTGTTGAATTTCCAGCATCTACCCTGTGTGTCATCACACTCACTGCCATCAAGTCATGCCAACTCACAGTGACCCTACAGAACTGTCCCTATGAGTTCCCGAGACTTTAGCTCTTTACAGGAGAGGAAAGCCCTTTCTCCTGCGTTGCTGGCTAGTTTTAAACTGATGACCTTGCAGTTAGCAACTTAATGCATGACACTATGCCACCAGGACTCCCTGTGGCACATCAAAGGTGCCATGAAATATGTGTGAACCAAGTAAATGAATGCATTTTGAAAATCAGAGCTTAATAATTTCAACGACCTGTTCAATCCTTATATGTGATATGTAATTACAATATGACATATATTACTTTATTAAACTAAGATATATGCATTTTAAGGGGGGAAAAAGCTAGAATAAGATAGCATTAGAAAGCAAATACATTTCAACCATGTTCAAGAAAACTACACTAATTCAGATTATCTGCCCTACATTCCATACTTAAAATGGTTTTATATGGGTTGGCTTAGTTTTAAATGTATGTGTTCCTAGTTCTTATGAATCTTTTGAAATTACCTTGGAACATATTCTCTTATGTAATAACTATTTCAAACTCATTTATAATGTCAGAATGTACTTTGAACTTGTTTGTTTTTAACCTTAACAGCAATTTGCAGGGTGAAACAAACAAAAAACCCCACTGCCAATGAGCTGCTTCCAATTCATAGTGACCCCATACAACAAAGTGGAATTGCTCCTGAGGATTTCTAAGACTGTAAATCTTTCTGAGAGCAGCAGTTTCATCTTTCTCCCAGTGAGTGGCAGGTGATTTTAACTCCTGATCTTAAATGGTAACAGCCTAACATGTATGTAACTCATTATGCCATCTGGGTGAAACTAGACACTAATAATACCAATTTGACCTTTTATAAGAATATATTGTTTCCCAAAGTGGACAATATGCTGGAATGATCCAGAGGACTGCAAAAGCATGTACCTACATGTTATCCTGGATTATGGGCTATAGTACAAAGTTTTTAATTACCGGAGTGCTTAGTAAATTTTTCTTTTTCCTGAAAAGGGAGCAGTAGTTCAAATAAATTTGAGAATTTATGATATAAAGTAGCACTGCAAATGTTTTATTGCGTGAATGACCAATACATTTAAAGTGTAGGTAGAAACAAAATCAATAAGGAAGAATCCAAAACCAAAAGTTAATTAATATTGCTTTTGTGTTCCAAGAAGAAGGAAAAAGATATACTTGGACACTAATACCTTATTGGTGGGAAGGAAACTGATCTAGACCTACAGATGTTCAATAAACAAACCTTCCATATCAAAATCTGCTGCGACCTCCGCATCTTCGCCAAGCAGAGTAGAGCTTGTTGATGATGGTAATGACACACTAATTTTCTCCAAACTCATTTCTTCTTCCAAAGTCTTGATCCAGTCTGGACTTTTTAAAGTAATAGTTATAGTCCGACCCAGTAACTGGTTGAATAAAAAGAGATATAAAATCCTTCTTATTAGCATGAAAACAGACTATTTTAGAATAAAATGCCCATTATACTTTGAAATGGTGTAGAAATTGAGTTAGATACAATTCAACATTATACTTTACACACACTGAATTTTTAACTAGTTTAACTATTGCTCCCAGTTCTCCCTCTAAATGCCTGTGGTGAGAGTAGTTACATAATGTTCAGTATTGTAATTATATCACTGAATTGTACATGTAAAAAACTGTCAAGATGGTGTATGCTTTATTATGCATATTTTCATCCTAACTTAAAAAAATGTTTTAAAGCCTGTTGTGATAAAGGTCTTCTTTTCTAAGTCAATTTATCAGAAGAGGAATCTCAGGACATCCTTGTTGAGCTGCCTGCTACTAGAGAAATTAAGCCTAGATTTTAGTTCATCTGTTTAATGGCCATATATATATTTAGAAATTTAAGGCTTGCCTAAAAAACATTCAGGAAAAACTGATAGGCTTATCACTTTGTAGGAGTCAAGCCACATTATATCATCATTGTAAACATCACCTATCAATGATACATTGAATCATACATTAGAAATATATCCAACTAAAGCTCCTCTCTCAGATTATTACCTATGAGAGTTATGTTACCAATGCTTAAAGTACCTGGGCACCAAGTCAGTAACACAAGCTCCTAAATAATAAACACCTTCCTTTTTTATTCTCTTATAAATTATTTTCTTCATTTGATAGAAACTCTACTATACAGATCAGATACTATATCTAGCCTCAATTAAGAATTTAAACTTTTAATATAATGAAACACAATACAACAGAAATCAAATGTAGTGACAACATTTTCTTCTTCATCTGTATTAATAACTAATATCTCTGGGAAGGATCAAAATAATCTTAGATTAATTAGAAAACTGTTCTAAATAAAAATATTTTAATCAAGCAAGTCTTAATCTGACTGTATTAAAACACGTTATGTAATTTTGCGGCACATCCATAAGAATATACAGACACTTAAATTTCTGAGTGGTTTAGGAGCAATAAATGCTACTTTACCTCTTTACCATTTAGGTTCAGGACATTCAGAGCAGAGCTCCCCTCCAAAAATGTAACCCACATTTTATCTTCTACGAATCTTTAAGGGGGAAAAAAAAGACAATAAAAAAACATGATTAGCTGCTATCTGTACAGATAGCAACTGGAGACACAGGAATCCAGGACAGATGACTCCTTCAGGACCAGTGGTGAGAATGGCAATGCTTGGAGGGTGGAGGGAATGTTGGTTAGAAAGGGGGAACCAATTACAAGAATCTACGTAAAAAAAAAAAAAAGAATCTACGTATAGCCTCCTCCCTGGGGGATGGACAGCAGAGAAGAGGGTGGGGGAGACGTCGGACAGTGTAACATATGACAAAATAACAATTTATGAATTATGAAGGGTTCATGAGGGAGGGGGAAGGGGGGAGGGAGAAGGCAAAAGAGTAGCCGATATTAAGGGCTCAAGTAGAAGGCAAATGTTTTGAGAATGATGGCAACAAATGTACATATGTGCTTGACATAATGGATGTATGTATGGATTGCGATAAGAACTGTACAAGCCCCCAATAAAATGATTTTAAAAACATGATTAGTATATTAGATATAAATAATCCAATAATTAATCATTAAAAGAGCCTGTACCAAAACTGAAACAAAACTCACTGCCATTGAGTCAATTCCAGCTCACAGTGACCCCTTTTAGGGTCCGGTGGGGTTTCCAAGGCTGTAAACCTTTACAGGAATGGACTGCCTCTTCTTTCTCCCAGAGCACCTGGTCGTTTAGAGCTACTGACCTTGTGGTTAGCAGCCCAATGCATAATCCACTAGCACTGGCTGCATTTCGTGTTTACCAGCTGCGTCAAGGAAGAAAGAAGCGACTGTCTATTGCCATAAAGATTGACTGGCTCAAAAGCCCTAAGGAGTAATTCTCCTCTGTCGTGTAGACTTGTTATTAGGTTCGGTCGACTCACAGCCACCCTATGTACAAAGAAACACTAGCTGGTCCTGTGTCATCCTCCTAATTGCTATGTTTGATCTCACTGTGGCAGCTAAAGTGAGACTCCACCTTGTTGGGGTCTTCCTCTTATTCCTGGCCCCTCCACTTCACTAGATTTACTGAGTTAGAACTGGCTCGATGGCCATGACAGAAACATCAAATGTGTAGAATCTACAGGAGGGAAAGCAGTGACCTAGCTAGCCCCTAGCTCATGGTGACCTAGAGAGGGCATACTTTCTTGCTACAAAGCATTCAAATTCCTTTCAAATACTATTAATAAAAGAGCTTGCCAGGGGGGAAAAAAGGGCCGTTGGACCAGCATTTATGATCTGTAGCAATCCAATCCTTCATTTAACTGAAAAGAAAAAAAAAAAGGGCCAGAGGTTAAGTGATTTGTTCAAAATGACCCAACATGACCTTCTGATCCCAGAAGGAAGATAATACTTTTAAAAAAAAATCATTTTATTGAGGGTTCATACAGCTCTTATTACAATCGATAAATACATCCATTGTGTCAAGCCCATTTGTCCATCTGCCACCACCATCACTCTCAAAACATTCTCCTTCTACTTACGCTCCTGGTATCGGCTCATTATTTTCCCTCCCTCGTGAACCCTTTATAATTCATAAAGTATTATTATCTTTTTCATGTCTTACACTGACCGATGTCTCCCTTCACCCACTTTTCTGTTATCTGTCCCCTGGGAGGGGGTTATAGAGGCAGATCATTGTGATCAGTCCCTGCTTTCTCCTCCCACCTTCCCCTTATCCTCCTGGTACCGCTACTCTAATTATTGGTCCTGAGATGTTTATCTGTCCTGGATTCCCTGTTTCCAGCTCTGATCTGTACTGTGTACATGCTCTGGTCTAGCTGGATTTGTAAGGCACAATTGAGATCATAATAGTGGGCGGGCGGGGCATTAAAGAACTAGAGGAAAGTTGCATGTTTCATTGGTGCTGCACTGCACCCTGACTGGCTGGTCTCTTCCTCGTGACCGGAAGGAAGATAATGCTAACAAGAAGGAAGATAGGGAGTTGCCAGTGAAAAGATACTGAACTGACTCCAAGTACCAGTTATGACCCTTGTCTTTCATGCCAATGCAAGACATTTAATCTCTTGGGACTTCACTACCTTTCCTATGACTCTAAATTGAGGATTCTGAAATATGAAACTCTCATAGAAAAAAATGAAAAGAATATTAGAACAAGCTCTGATACGGATGGTCAATGATAGGCAACAAAAAGAATAAAGCAAAGTAAACATTATCAGTCTTATTTACAAAAACAATTTTATAAGTCAAATTACCCCCAACTGTATAAATTAAGCTGGGAAATTTTCAAGGAAACATATACATGCAGGATTCAAAAGAAAGGAATAAGAAAAGGGGCGGAAATGTGTGCACAGTACTTTAACTGTGAGAAGAGTCAGGTAGTTACTAAATAACCAGAGCACCACTGATAACTGTAAGAACAAGCACTGGAGTTTAGACACCTGGGGGTATGGAATATGGGACTCTGATGGAATACTTAGGGGAAAAACTGTTAACCCACAGTACTCAGCCAATGAGGAACTGGGGGAGGGGGCTTTTGAACTAGGGGAGAAAATGCTTGCAGAAGGGCAGTGAGGCTCGCTCCCAGTTATGCCCCGTTTGTCTCAGGGATTGTGAGCTTAATTTTTAAAATCAAACAATAAAGTCTTCTCTCTCATTAAAGTAAGTACATTTATCAATAAAATCCTGTGATGGCCCATTGGTAAACTCACCTGGGATAAGACAGTCCACCCAGGTTCTGTGGAGAGACCCATCAGGGGTTTATTCTAATCCACTAGTTACCTAGAGCAACCAATAAGGTGTCGAGTTTTGACACCATTTCTCACAACTGGGTGAAACCAAAGGCTTGGAACACACATACTTCTGCAGTCACTCAAACCTGGCCATGCAATTTTTTTAGGGCATTTTTGAAACTAAGGGAACCCAGGTGGTGCAGTGGATTAAGTATTAGACTGCTAACTGCAAGGCTGATGGTTCGAGCATACCAGGCACTTAGGAGAAAGGTAGCAGTCTGCTTCCTAAAGATTGACAGTCTTGGAAAGCCAATGGAGCAGTCCCACTGTCTCAACAGGGTCACAATGAGATGGAATCATCTCCTTGGCAGTGGGTTTGGGTTTGTTTTTAGAAGCTGTAGTTTCTTCCTGTTTTTACTCACTACGGTAACATTTTCTAGAAGGCATCTACCACTAATACAAGTATCTACATACATCTAAATGAGGGCCCCTTGTGGCATAGTGGGTTACATTTTGGACTGCTAATCACAAGGTCAGCAGTTTGAAACCACTAACCACTCCGCAGGAAAAAGCTAGAGCTTTTATACTCATTAAAGAGTTAGTCTCAGAGACCCACAGGGCAGTTCTATTCTGTCCTACAGGGTCACTATGAGTCAGAATTAATTCCTTGGCACCGAGTTGACATATCTAAATTTATGTCTCCTTCATAGTTCCTGGGAATTTCTTGTTTCAATACAAAGGCAGCTTTTAGTCACTCCGTAACAGTTGCCTAATCCAGACTAAAACCTACTGCCATCTAGTTGCTTCTAATTTGTAGCACCCTACAAGGCAGAGTAGACTGGCTCACAGGGTGTCTGAAGTTGTAAATCTTTATGGAATCGGATTGCATTTCCTTCTCCCAAGGAGTGGCTGTAGATTGAGAACCTACATTTTTGGTTAGCAGCTGAGTATTTAGCCACTATGGTACCAGGACTCCTTTATTGTAGGCTGAAAGGTAAAAGTACACTGTCATGGCTTTAAGCAGTCCTCTCGTTCACTGTCTGCCTTTTCTTTTCTAAAATGGTTGCCTTATGGTGCAATAACCAGAATATTAAAGTTTGGATATGATACTTCATGATGTTAAAATAATATCTTTGTTTTATTACCAAGACACAAGGGACTTCAAAAAGCTCATGGAAAAATAATAAAAGATAACGAATATGATAGCTTTTGAATTATATGACAACACAATTTTTAAAAGACAATGAAATTTTTCTATCAACTTTTTAAAGGCCACTCGTATTTCCTAATGATGGCAAGGATTCTGGGGACAGTTCTAGCTCTACTGAACTTCAAAATCTTTAGAGATTAAGTTATAAAGACCAGTGTTGTTTTCCTACCCAGAATCCTTCACCCTGGACTATTGCTAGTCTAGTACACTCTTACATTTTTTCATAATAACACTTATCTGCTACTTTGCAGCCCACGTACATAATTCACAGGATCCTCTTGGTGGTTTGGCATTTCCATTCTTGGCACAGCCGTCTGTCATCTGTAATCTTGGAGATAGCACTATGTACTTGCTAGAGTCTTTACATTCTGCAAAATTTTTGTGCTTTCTTTTCCAGTTGGGGGTAGGTCTCCGTGAAATGATTTGAGGGAAGACTAAATACGATTTCTTTTCTATTTGTTAACTTACTCTTTGAAAGAATTCTAGATTTATTCAGTGGGATACTCAATTTGCTGTAACCACACAATCTCAATTCTGGGAACTAATGATGTTTAGGGTCTAGGGAAGCCAGTGCATGTATGTTCCTCTTCCAAAAGGAGTAACAAAGACGAATTAAGTCTTCACTTTCTTGTCTGCTCATTCACAATGAGATTTGCCCACCAATTATCTTTGAAGCAATATGAAAATCGGATACACACACATCATTCAGTACTCCAACTATCGCTGTACACTTGGAAGAAGGTAATTTTAAATAAAGAAAGAGGAGCTCTGCTCGCCAAAGGCAGATGGTTAAATCACAGAGAGAAGCCAGGACTGGCAGATATGACCCCTGACTATTCATCTGGCGGTGCTACTTCTCTACTAATTGGAAATAAAACAAATGTACTTTAAGTTACTTAAAACCTCAAAATTTTTGTTAAACTTTGGAGGGAGAAGGGTAAAGTCACTATCCTTATAGAACTAAAATGGCAATCACATCTTCATTTGGCTACACAGCTTTGTTTTTAAGTTATTTTGTATGGAAATCTTGAAAGAAAACACCTAAATTATTGGCACCTATATTTGTCCTCAACTGTTCACATCACATTTCACTATTTAACTTTGACCTGGTTTCAAAACTTTTGTTCTGAGTAAACATAATTATGGTGCGACTTTTCTTTAGTTTGAAAATACAAATACACATATCCTATTCAAACACCAAGGTTACTCCTAAATATAGAAACTATCATTTATAAATAAAGTTATAAATCTTTTCCTCACCTTATAAGTATAACTTCCCCAAAATTTGCAAATTGCTGGAGAAGCTCATCAATCAAAGCATCATCAAAAAAGTTATTATCTGACAGAGAACTTTTGATTGAGACCAATACTGTGCCATCAGGTGGACCCTGCACCGCAATCACTTCTTTATAAATGTTTTGCCTTTCTTCAGCTTCAACTTCAAATATATCTATATCAATCAGCGCAATGACTGGCCTGTAGACATAAGAGACAAGCCTAAGAAAGGATGCGTTTCAAATAAATTCCAAGCACTATTAGAAATACTGAAACTGTGAAAACCTGTGATCAGACGTCTTTAGCTCGGCCCTTCCATAGTGCAGCAAAGTGCCAGGGGTCCAAGTGTAGAGGATTTTGCTTCCATCTTGAAAACTAGCATTCAGAAGGTCTAAGTCTTCAGCTGCAGCCAGGATGAAACAAAGCACAAGAGAAGCCACATAAACAGACCACGTGAACAAGTCGCTGTGTTCTTCTTTTGCTCTAGCTCAGCTGTATGACGCTGATACCCAGTGCCATCAAGGGACCCCACTCCTACGCACTGCCCGAGTATCAATCCTGACTCTAGCTCATAGCAACCCTACGAGGGTTTCAGCTGTAAGTCTTTATGACAACAGTCTCATCCTTCTCCCCTGGAGCGCTAAGGTTTGAACCATCAATCTGTGGTTAATGCCTACCCCACAGTCTTACCAAGGCTCTTTGGGCTACTTGATACACATGGCAATATAGGTAGGAAGTCTGGAACCCTTTAAATTACAAGGACCTTTTTTAGGTAAAGTTACCATTTTATACTTAATAAAAATTAACTATGTAACTTTTCCTCTGAATTACTTAAAGGCCTCTGGAAAGATGTTCATAAATAATTCAACAAACAAAAGGCAGTCCAATTATTTGCAAATCACTTTAGTTATTCAAGTTAAAACCTTAACACTCAACGGAGTACTTCACAAGTTTCCTTGATTCTCGTCTATAAATTATGTCACTAAAAAGAAAATGAACTGAAACAGATCTCGGAATATTTAAATATATCAGTATAAAATTTGTACATATTGTTTATTTGATTCTGGTAATGTGGGGGGGGGGTGGAAAGCTTGCCTGTTCTCATTTGGTATTTATATCATTCCTTTCTTCCTCATAAAATGTGTATAAATCCATTTAAATGAAGAAGTCCATTTAGTTCCCAACCTGATCTATCAAAAGGCCACTTCCTTCTTCTCCAGAGGACACGGTCTGTCCACGCAGGGGTGCGGCACTTTTCACTGGTGTCATAGTCATCGGAAAACAGATCATACTTATATGTTGGAGCAAAAGTTACTTTGCCTTCTAAAAACCCTCGAAAGATCTAAAAGAAACATATTCAGAGTATGTTATTTTAAAAGGTGACATGTGAAAAGTTCTGTTTTTATTCAGGTAGGCGCTCATGAAGTCTACTACATGCTGAAATCTCACACTGAAACTGGTATACATCTGATGACACTTTCAAGTAGATGGCAAAGTGCAGTACTCAAGGAAAAACAACCTAAGACATGGCCATTTTTCACATCACTTGTTTGAGATAGTTAAGGTTTATTGTGTCAAACCTGACCGATAAACACATGTGGGGTTAACTGAAGGGTCGAGCGATAAATGGCTCGGTGAGTCTTGCCTTCCTAGTTCTCGGGTCTCTTACTTTCTGATGATCGGACCAGGGTGCAGCTGCCTTAGCAGTTCCCTGCTTCAGCTTGCAAGGCTCACCTCCTGCAAGACATCCCTGAGAAGTCACATGGACCTACCCCGATGCAGCCCTGGGTGCTGGAGGAGCCGTGTGGAGACCTCTGCCAGTGCTGAGATGCTTACACACTTACTGATTCAGCTTTCCTCCTGCAGTCGGCATCATTGCGTGTGTTTTGTGAAATTCAGGAGGACTTTGTAGATCAGTGTCAGACATACGGGCTAATGTTGGACTTATGGGCTTGAACAGCACTGTGTTGGGATGCTTTCTTAATGTATACTTACTCTTTATATAAAACTCTCGTATACATATGGGTTTCTGTGGCTTTGTTTCCCTAGTTTACCCAGGCTAACACACTTGTTTGACCTTCAATTAAGAAAACTATAAATATGAGCCTAGATGAGAATTCCATAGATGTACAAACTACAGAGGACATCTAGAAGTATCTGGGATTTTATAAATCATCTTGCTTGATGGCTCAGTCTCAGAACTGAGGCTTAAAAAAGGTAAGTGGTGCCCAAACATCAGAATCCTAGTCTCATGACCACTAGACACCATACTATGTGGCCTTCAAACAACTCTATTAAAAAAAATTGTGATCACAGGTTTTAAGAAATAAGTTTGTAAAAAGAAAATGATATAAGAAGTAAGAGTAGAACCTATTGCAAGGATCTACATATAAACCCCTCCCTGGGCGACGGACAACAGAAAATTGGGTGAAGGGAGACATTGGACAGTGTTAAGACAAGCCAAAATAATAATCATTTATAAATTATCAAAGGCTCATGGGGAGGGGAGGGGGGTAAGGGTGGAGGGGGGAAATGAGCTGATACCAAGAGCTCAAGTAGAAAGAAAATGTTTTGAGAATGATGATGGCAACAAATGTACAAATGTTCTTGACACAATGGATGGATGCATGGATTGTGATAAGAGTTGTACAAGCCCCCAATAAAATGATTAACAACAACAACAACAAAGCAAGAGTTGAAAAACAAATCAGATTAGCACAAGATCTTTAAGTAAAAACCAATACCCTCCAGGACTAAGATTCTTTTTTTTTCCTTTTTAAACCCTGAGGGGGTGGGGGAAACCCTGGGAGGGGTTATAGGTAGGTCATTGTGATCGGTTCCCTCTTTCTTCCCCCACCCCCTCCTGGTATGGCTACTTCACTATTGGTCCCGAGGAGTTTATCTGTTCTGTATTCCATGTTTCCAGCTCTTATCTGTACCCATGTACATGCTCTGGTCTAGCCAGATTTGTAAGTTAGAATTAGGGTCATGATAGCGGAGGTGAGGAAGCATTAGAGAACCAGAGGAAAAGTATGTTTCATCAGTGCTATACTGTAGCACCCTGACTGGCCTGTCTTCTCCCTGCGACCCTTCTGTAAGGGGAGGGAAGACTAGGATTCTAAACTCAATATTACTGGGGGCAGGGGGATATAAAGCCTTACTACTTGAAAGTGAATCTTACAGAGACATGAAGAATTTACTTCCTAGAATTATGGGTTTATTTCTTTTTTTCCCTAAGCAATAGCTTTATTTATCTGCTAAATAACATTTACATTATGTATATATGAGGGGACTTCAAAAAGTTAGTGGAAAAACAGAATTAAAAGGCCCCTCATATAGTGATTAAGAGTCAAGAGACTTTAAGATTAAACATATACACATACATCATGATTATGGAAAGTATGTTTTATAACCAAAAAACCCCAAAGATATAAAAAGCACCATCTTCTCAATACAAGCATGGATATACCTGTCCAGTATTTTTCTGATTGATTAGTTGATCTCCTGCTATAAGAGAATCCCAATTTTGCTGTCTTATGAGCTCTTTGACTTCTTCATTAGGGAGATCAATTCGATAGTTGAAATCGCCACACCAAAATACATAATCATGGGAAAACAGCAGCCTCCCCTAGAAGCAATGAGATTGAATTTCAAATTCAAAACAATCACTTTTAAAAGATATTTTATAAATAGTTCTTTGCTTCAGATATATTTCCTTCCCTTCTAGTCCCTGTTTCTTTAACCCAATAGTAATAATACATTTCATACCCGTTTAGGTGAACATGATTGATGTTTTTAGAAACTATCTTAAATTTTCAAAACACCTGGTTTGGAATTTGGGATAAATTAAAATAGGTTTCTAAGCTTCATCTTCGAGAACAAACTAGCAAGACCTTACCATGGGAAAACTCAATTTTCGCGCAATTTCTACAAAATCTTCATTTCTTTCCTTGACTTGTGATTGTCCTGCGGCGAAATGGCTACACACGAAGCAGAGGCTTGTTGTGTGGAAGAGCATTCTGATCGCAACTGCTCCCTTATTTCCTGTTGCACCTCCCATCCCAGTCTTCACAGTGTCCACTGCAACGTCCCTTTAAACAAAGAATTCTATATCAAAGATTTGAAATGTCAATACCTGATGCCCATAAGCAATTAGGGGTACACACATCATACGGTGGTTCGAGAGCAATGCTGTGAAACAGTACACTGCAATCACTGGCTCATCAATAAGAAGTGTTTTAAAACAAGAACTAAGAATAAGTGTTTCTCTGAACAAGCAAATATCCTAGGTCTTTTTCTTGTTTCCTTTCTATTGGTGGCAAAGGGCTTTCAGAGGATGCTCTATTTACTGACCTGATGAAAGGAGCATGCTGCGGTCTGATAAAAACAAACAGGCAGACGCCCACCAACTGCTCAGAAGCCAGCAGCACATACTTGTTGTCTCTGGAAATTGTCTTTTGAAGTTCCACAGCCCAGAGCTTCTGATTAGTTGTGCTACCATAAAATATTAAAAAGATAATCTTTTAAAAGATATTGACAACAGTTTATCTTATAAGGCAAGTTACTAATTATACCTTTATATGCCCCCATTCTATCACACAAGCTACACAAAGAGTGAACTCTTTTTGTAGGCTACTATTTTCAGTTTTGCTTCCTTTAAAAAGGGAAGCTTAAAACTTAACTAAAAAGGCCCCATACTTCAAAATCAGCGACTCCTTGACAACAAAAATATGAACTTATTTGACAATCAACATCCCTTAAAATTTTTACAGTCACCACATATGAAACATACACCCTTCAACAATTATCAACACGTTGCCAATCTTTCCTTCTTCCCATCCTTACTTCCTCTGCTGCTTTTTTTTTTTTTTGCGGGGTGGGGAGAGTCGGGAAGATCTGGAATATTTTAAACCAAATCTAAAGTACATGTCATTTCACCCATAAATACGTCAGCATGCATCTCTAACACAACAGACATTTTTACTTTATAGAGTCACAATGCCATTGTCACACTCTGATTTCCTTATTACTATTTAATACCCAGTTCATAATCAATTGCCTCAATTACTTTTAGTTTGTTTTAAGCAGGGTCCAAATAAGGCCTATATATTATATCTCTTGAATCTCTTAATCTCAAGTGTCTCCATGCTGAATATCCACCCCTCTTCCTCCCATTCTGACCTTCTAAATGTCTTAAAAAAAGAAACAAACTGGGATATTTTCCTTAGAGAAGAAGGTTCAACAGCCTGGATTTGGCTGATAGTATCCTCCTGGAGCCTCTATCACTCACATTGCCTATAAACCAATAGTTTGACGTAGAGGTCTGGTTAAGAAACTAATTCTTTTTCTTGTGGGGCAGGGGAAACTACCTCAGGGGTGATGCTGTGTATTTCCTATCACAAGAGGGGCAGCTTTTCTGTGGTGTTCAGGTAGCAGCAGTCTGACCACTCTTATAAAGCTACCTATGAATTTTCCATTTCCATCTAAGCTTTTAGCATTTCTTGGTCACTGCCCAGTTCTTATTATTTCACTGGGTTGAAAAGTGTTAATTTTGTAATTTCATCATTCCATTTATAGTAAACTGGAATTCTATAAATAACTTTTTCCAATCAACTCTTCAATTACTTTAAAATACAGTTCTCATAAGTAGGATAAATGCTTGAATTTTAAAAATCCCTCAGAACAGTTTGTCCAAAGATCTTCAAAAGGAAACACAAACATACTTTCATGACTCAAGATTATATACCAAGTACAATTAAATGAGTAGAATAACCAGAATAAGCAATATTAGTTGCATGTTATACAGATTTGTTATCCCACCATATTTAATTCTAACAACCACTGTGAGATCTTGTATAATCCCCATTTTATAGATAAGAGCACTCTCAAGGTCACGCATCTGGTTAAGTGTCTAGGCCAGATTACGCCCTCACATCTATCTAACAGTAGCCATTCCACATCCAAATTAAACATTCAAAGCATGGGCTGCCTACAGATCTACATAATCCTACTGCTGTGACTTTGATTCTGAAATGATAATAATAACAAATTCCCTTCTTCTGGGCCACTCCTCAAGTCATCTTCTCAGTAAATCTGATCCTGATTATTCCATTTATTTTCCATTGCATTTATGGTCTTCTAATGAGCTATATAATTTACTTGGTTTTTTTCCCCTTTAAATCATTTTATTGGGGGCTCGTACAATTCTTATCACAATCCATACATCCATCCATTGTGTCAAGCATATTTGTACATTTGTTACCATCATCATTTTCAAAACATTTGTTATCTACTTGAGCCCTGGTCCGTTATCTTTTTTTTTTTAATCGTTTTATTAGGGGCTCATGTGACTCTTATCACAATCCATATAATTTACTTGTTCCAACAATGTTTACTGTCTGTCTCTTTCCACTAGAAAATAACACTTATGAAGGGAAGGGGGTTTTCATGGTTTATTTATTGATGCATTGTTAGCACTTACCACAACTTATTAGTTCACATTGATTAAATTAAAGAATGGATACTTATCACTTTATTAAAGAATAATACGATTTAACTCCATTTATACAAATGACTGAACAATTTGTTTAACAGTAGGAGTCCTAAGATTATACTATTCTATTTTTAAAACTTAATACGTATTTTCAGGAAAAATACACAAACTGTAAAATACATGAAGTCTTATTTCTTTTTTACTTCCCTAATTATTACTCACCTTGGCTAAGAAAATACCTGTCATCTGAAAAATCTATGACTACACCATACTATTTTGGCCAGTAATTTTATTTTGAAAATCTTAAAAGATGGGCAACTGCTCAAACATGAAAGTAAGCATATCTTACATTAAAATAACATACTTAAGCTATGCCGTTTTGACCTAGTAAACTGTATTTGTAATAAAGGTACAGAGAAGGAGTTTTCGAAGTTGATCTAGAGAAACCCCTCGAGGGTTCCTGAAACTCGAGAAATCAATACTTACTTTCACAATACTAAGGCACCGCTTGCTTTTTTCTATGTGTTAACTGATATCTGCACTGACGGTCCAGGAGAAACAAAGACTAGAAGAGCTGATACCATAGCATCACTCCTGGTCCCGTCAGTCTTCACCGGCATACACTTAATTTTTTTTTTTAAGCAATTTCATTTAGGAATGTCCTTAATGAAGTAGTAACTTTATGAAATCTCAACCCAAGTCACATTTTTTTTAAACTACTGAATGAATGGGGAATAGGCACAAAGCACTTGTGCTTACTGAGCACAATGGCTGTCTCAATGTAAAGCCCAGAAGATTTTGAATTTTAAGCTGCACTTTAAGTCACTTTTTCATGGAACATATTCTTACCTGAAGGAACTAATGACAAAAAAACAAGGGTTATTCATAGTTGGGTATCTAGCAAACATTTTCTCAACCAACGCTGTTGCTTCAAGAAAAACCATTGATAGTTTTTATTTGCAATGATAAAATGAGTTTTTAGGTACAAATTAGAATTCTGGGAAATATGTGTCTGCTGCCACTGTGATCTTGACACCTCAATACGTAACATAATTTTCTGCTAAGATTGGTGAATAAATCAACGAATATAGCATATTCATAAATGCCTATTTTTTCATAAAATGCATCAAAATTTGGACTATCTACATAGCTAAGTGATCCAGTGTTTTTCAATCATCAATACGTGATGTTACAACAAAATCATAGAGATGATAACTAAAGAATTTTAATAGAATGGAGTAAAAAGTTCATTATTTTCAGATTCCACATAAACTTTAAAAGGACTACAAGTTGAGTGTTGGTATAGCATCCAAGAAGATATTAGCTGAAAATACTATTAAAAATTCTTCCTTTTCGAACTGATTACAGGGATCTACATATAACCTCCTCCCTGGGGGACAGACAACAGACAAGTGGGTGAAGGAAGACATCAGACAGTGTAAGATATGACAAAATAATAATTTATAAATTATCAGGGGTTCATGAGGGAGGGGAGACCGGGGAGGGAGGGGGGAAAATGAGGAGCTGATGCCAAAGGCTTCAGTGGAGAGCAAATATTTTGAGAATGATGAGGGCAATGAAGGTACAAATGTGCTTTATACAATCGATATATGTATGGATTGTGATAAGAATTGTGTGAGCCCCTAATAAAATTATTAAAAAAAATTATTCCTTGTGATTTGCTCCATATAACTTCACCTAGTAAAACAGCATGTTATAACAGACTGATGCAAAAGTATAAGTAAGAATTCCGTGGTCTTAGGGACTAATCTCTAAAATCTAGGAAAAGTACAACATTGTAACAAGAGCAAGATGAATAATCCATTTAAAATATGGGCAAAGGATATTAACCAAAGACAACATCCAGGCAGTCAAAAACATGTGAAGAAATGCCATCAAGAAATCAAAACAATGAAAAAAAAATTTTTTTTAAATCAAAACAATGATGATACCACCTTATACCGGTATTGCCAGAAAAGTGCAAAAAAACCTGAAAATAACAAATGCTGGAGAGGGTGGGGAGTGATTGGAAACCTCATACACTGCTGAGAGAACTGCAAAAAAAAATTATATATATATAATTATATATATATAAATTATATATATATAAATATATATATATATATACACACACACACACCACTGTAGAAAGCAAAGTGGCGCTACCTCAAATGATTGGGGATAGAAATTCCAGAGGATCCAGCAATGCCTTTGCAGGATATATACCACTAAGAAGTAAGAGCCATAGTATGAACAGATATATGTACACCCGTGTTCATTACAGCACTGTTCACTGTAGCCAGGGGATGGAAACAATTTAAATGTTCACCAGTGACAGAATGGATAAATAAACTTTGGTACACATACACAATGGAATAAAAGAGTCACGATTAAACTGTGAAGCACACGTCACAACATGGATGGACTGAAGAACATTATGCTGAGTGCAATTAGCCAACCACAAAAGGACAAATATCCTATGAGGTCACTGTTAGAAAGAAAAAAACAAGATAAAGCAGACTTTGATGGTAAGGTGTGGGAAGGAGGGAGAGAAGGTGAAGCAACATCGATTCCCAAACTCATTTGGCTTACTGCTCCCTTTTCAGAGAAACAAAAACAAAAAACTGAGAGCCAAGCTCTACCCCCAGCAAAGAAACTCTTTTGTACTATAGCCCCAAATCCAGGCTCACGTGTAAATATCTGCCTTTTGCAGCCCCTCTAGATTGTCCCAGCACCCCCAAGGAGATTGCATAGCTCACGTTGGGAAACACTGGTAAAGGGTAGACAGGTGGTGAGAAGGGGGAAGATAGTATTCAAGAAGAGGGAAAAGAAAAATAAATGGGGGGGGGGGTGTCAAGCTATTGAAGGGGTTCATCAGTAGTTTTAAGTTGCTGAATACAAATTTGATTAAATGTAAACTCCCACCTAAGTTCACAATAAAACATTTAAAATTCAGCTGTTTTAAAGATGCAAGACTACAGAACAATATCACCCTTCTCATTATATCTTTCTATTGTAGAAATATGTAGTTATTTTCCAAAAATTGGTATTTATTATAATATGGGATAGGCTTGTTATTTTAAAGCAAGTTAAATGTCTGAAAATGTCTGGTTCTACTTCTAATTTAATAAATATTGAAAGGTATAATCACATAAAAAAGTCTCAAGATTAAAGAGTATAAGGGACTTTAAGGTAAAAAAATTATAGTTTGCTGCTTTATAGTTCAAAAGGTGCCTTCATATAATACTATCTCCATCTAGTTTTCTAACAGCTACTTAGTTATCTGCCCTCCATTCCTCAATATGAAGAATTTCTCATGTGTTCCTTGGCTGGCTTACCTTGCATTCACAATGTTTCCAGCATTCAACTCTACCATTTCTTCAAAACCAATTGCAAATATATCGGTTGGCTTACTTCTTTTATCTGTAATTAACATCCAAGAAATACTCTTTTAATATAGTCTTAGTCAACTGGCAACTCTCTCAACATAACGATGATCAATACCAGAGCCCTCCCCCAAATACCATTTAACAATCCACTAAAGTTCAACCAAGTTCCAAGTGAAAATCCATGTGAGACAAAATTACTGTATATACTACTCATGTATAAGATGAGGTTGCCAGCACATTTTTAATGCAGTTTTTATGGTAAAATTAGGTGCCTCGGCTGATATTCGGGTAGGCTTATACTCAAGTATATGCAATAGATTAAATTTCTATCTAGATATCCTATATTTGCTACTGCAAAGCAAAGCTTTTATTCTTTAAAAAAAACACGCTAAGTCCTATCAGAAATCATTTTGAAAGTATTCTTTGGACCAAGGAGAGCTTCTAAGAAACAAGCCACTTCTCAAAGGATGAAGTGAATCAGAATTAGAGAATAAAGTGGCTAAAAGTCATCTTAAATAAGAGATAACAATTGGGAGTAATTCTTCACATTCAAATTTGAAAACCCAGGTTTGAACTTGTAGCTATTTCCTGAGTGGAAGAAACACAGAAAAACTAGAAGACATCCAGGGGTTAAGCCTTATCACCTTTTTCTAGATATTTGCTTTTTCATAGCTAACAGTGCCTCAAAAAGGACATAAGCTGCTTAATTTAAGCAGTCTAGGGGGTATTCTGGGTAGCATGAATGATCAGACATGAGGATAAATATGAGCAGGCTTCACAAAGTACAAAGAAAAACTGAATTAAAAGAATGGAATTTATACACCAACTTTGTGACGCCCTCTTGCTGATGAGAGTCTGTAATACTGCTAAATGGAGCCCTGGGTGGGTCTGTCAGGTAAGTGTCTGACTGCTAACGAAGGTAGGCAGTTCAAACCTACTAGCCATTCCAAGGGAGAAAGACGAGGTTGTCTGCTCTCAAAGATCTACAGCTTCGGAAACCCGATGTAGGTCACTATGAGTTGGAATCAACTCGATGACAGTGATATTTTGTTTAATACTGTTAAGCAACACTTTATTGATTGCTATTAGGTGTAAGGCCAAAGCACACACCACCACATTTAATTACTAAGCACCTTATGAGAGACATTATTTTTGCCTTTGTTTAACGGGCAAAAACTGAGATTTATAGAAGCTTGCCCAACTTGCCCAACTTCACACATGATAAAATGTAGCACAAACTCTGAAGTCAAACTGTTTGATTTCAAACCCTGGCTTTGCTATTACTAGCATGGCCGGTGACTTTCCTTTGTGTCTCTGTTTCCTCATCTGTAAAATTGGAAAATAGTATCTATGTAGTAGCTCTGTATTAAGAATTAAATGAACACATGTAAATACTTAAAATTATAGTAATAGCTACTATTTATTATTATTATAATTACTACTACTACTACATAACTAAAATTTCAAGCTATGCTCAATGTAAATAAAAGAGGAGACATTTTAATAAACGTTTTGGGGAATAAGCAAAGGGTTTAAAATGAGACTGATTAAAAAAGGGAAAATTTTTTCAAATTATTTCCTATATACATCACCCTCATACATAACATTGGCAATTGTATTCATTTTTAAAAAGAAATTAAGTTGAACTAACAAAAGAAGGCTTCTAATTCATGGTTTTAATCAAAATATTAATAAAAGCATCATCCACTTAATATGTGGTACTGGCTATTAATTACTTGGTGGCAGAGTACCTGAACAGAGGTGACAACCAATTCTTCACAAGGATAAGCCAAGACCATTAAAGTTACAAAGTTCCAATAAATAACCAAGTATGTTTAAGATTGCTCATGATCTCAATGATCATTTCTTATCTTAGTAACTAAATAGACTACATATTAAAAACAGGACATATTAGGTTTGAAAGATGAAATAAAAATTATCCATTACAAAATTAGTGTGGTGTCAATTTAAGGAGTACAGGTAGCACTGTGGGTAAGTGTGTGGCTCTTAACCAAAAGGCTCACAGTTCAAACCCACTAGCTGCTCCCCAGGAGAATGATGTGGCGTTCTGGTTCCCTACAGAATACAGCCATGGAAACTGCAATAGGTTTGCTATGAATCAGAATCAACTTGGTGAGAAAGGGTTTGGGTTTCTTACCTGTGTCAATTTAAAAGAATAAAAATAGAAGTGATACTCTCAAAGTAACCTAATTATTTATAGATCCATTGTCTGAAAACCCAATTAAGAAAAACAATGTTCCATTTTACCATTATGCTTTTCAAAACAAATGTCTGGAAATAAAAAAATCCAAAAAACGTCAGGTAAAATTTTAACACATTTGATTTTAATAATGTTAAGCGTCTATTTTAAAATTCTATTTCTTTTATAAATTAATGGACATTGTGGAATGCTACCCTTGTTTCTCAGGTTAATAAATCATAGTCTGTTAATTAAAACTGTATTATAAAATGCAAACCTTGAAATTCCTGGATGCCAGCTAACTTGGGTGCATCCAGCAGCCAGTCAGTGAGTGTTTGATTCTTAAAAGCTATGCTGCGAAACTGCTTCCCACCATTCACATTCCAGGTCCCAACACACACTCGAATTTTCTTGGGCTTTGAATACTTGTAGAAATTCTCACACATGTTCTTTAGTACTTTAGAAGATGCTGTACAAAAACAAAACATGACACATAGAATTTTAGCTGCATTAAACTATTAATGAAAATTTATTTTTCATAACTGGGAAATGATGTCTTAGAAATACAATTACCACCATATGCATACACAAGCATAAGATACATGCACAGGCACAAAATAATTATCAGCCCTAAATATAAAGCCCAGCATGATGCAATTCACCAACATAATTAAAATAAAGAATACCAATCACATTAAAAACAATAAGCAAAACAAAATTTAAAAAATTTTTATAAAATTATTGCAACATAAAGCATGCAGAATCACTGGTTCTGTTTCAACAAAATGTACATTATTTTATAATGTATAAATTAAAAATTGTACATTTTTAGTAATACAGCAATTGACCTTCACACAACTTTCATGGGAAGCTGGCAAAAAAATATAAATTTTATTTCTCCCAAATAAAAACAAGAACATTTGCATTTAAGATTTAAGCCACTGGCAAGAGGTTTTGCTTGCTGGCAAAAGTACAAATTATGGAAGCTAATTAGATGTCTGAAAATAAAGTCACTACTAAATGTTCCCCATCTTGCTCAGAGTAGAAGTCCAAGTTCATAGCAATGACCTACAAGGCCTTGGACAAGTTGCTTCTCATTTGCCCATCTCAGCTCACTCCTGGGCCTCCCTGCTATTTCAGAAAGATGTCAAGCATGTTCTCATCACAGGGTCTTTTCACTGGCTGTTCCCACAGCTGTAACAATCTTCTCCCATCTTCTTTAGGACTTGACTTTGTGGTTAAGATTGTCCCTGGCCACCTTATTTAAAAAACAAAACAAAACTCCACTCCACTCCTAAACTTTCACACCCCCTATTAGCTTTACGCTTTTTCTATAACACCCATCATCCATTTATAAGCTCCATGGTTTATTTATCTTGTGGCTATTTTTCTGCTCTCCCCAAAATGGAATCTTTATGAGGGTAGAAATGTTGTGTTTGTTTACTGCAATATCCCTAGTGAGGAGAGGAGTGTCTGGCATGAAGCACTCAATATATTCATTAAATGAATGTTCAGTATATTTTGAATCTTCAATCTCTCTTGTCTATTCTTTTAAAATCATCTTTCCCTCTGATAGAGAGGGACACAGCAGTCTTGTAAAAGTTAAAGGGATGAAGTCAGGTTTAATGTAGGTGAAATAATTCCTTGCAATAGTCCAGGCAGATAACTCTTATATGATTAATAAATTTGCACATGCAGTAAATGATATATTGCACACAGACTTTTGTGTTCTTACTTAGAGAAGCTAGTGACTTTCTACATGAAACTGGTTTCTGCAAATTTGAATGCTGGTTCATAAAGAGAAAGCTATTTTGTTCTTGAAAAGTCTAAGACTGTGTAGAACAGGACACGACTGAAATTACTGCTTCTAGGAGGGCAAAAAAAGGGTTAGGTGGACCACTTAAAACCTACAGAACTTTTTAAGTAGGGCACAACAAAAACAGAAACAATCCTGCTAAAAGACACACGTGTGCTTAAATAGCCATGAGCACTTGCCCCTGAACTCAGTCAGTACAAGTGTTTGCAGGCATGTACCCTAGAGCTCATGCTCCTTTGGAGATATAGGTTCTTGAAGTCATTAGATTCCATAGAAATCAGGTTTGCCAAAATTAAAACTACAAACTAGAGGCAGCCTCCATTAATCATTTCTTTTAACACCAGGAAGAAGTACAAGTATGCTAACAATGTTTACCTTCTTTAGCTACAGGCGCATTTCCCCAAAGAACTAAACACAGTGGAAATTATAGTGAACCTTGAAATAATTTCTTGCACAACAGGAAGACATTTGTGTAGTATTCCTACTGTCAGAGTCAGCTAGAGGTTTGGATGACCCATTCCACTGGTCATGTCCAGACGGATTCATCCCAACACCAAGCAGGATCAGGGGCTGAGGAGAGGCAATGGGGTCCTGCCACCCAAGGTCTATAAAATCCAATTATCATACCCCTAGACATCGTTGGCTTCCTGAAATCGCGTGGTGACCCGTTTCATGACTGAATCTTTGTTCCACTGACTGTGTTGTCCGACTGCTTTGTCTTATGTCGTGCATGTTGCCCCTCTGTTGTGGTGGTAAACCACTTGCAGAAACTTGCGAGCTTTTCTCTACATCAACTTTGAACACCTACATCTACTTTCCTTAAATTCTTCACAATATTAAATTTCCCTTTCTCTTTAGAACAGTTCACAGTATCATCATGCTGGGAAAACCCTAAATGAACCAGCAAGACATTTGTCTTATACTGACATCATCCCCACTCATCAACTGTGTATAAGCTAACCACATTAAAGAAGGCTGTGTTCCTTTAACCAGAAATAATTTTCAACCATGCCATTTGCCACCCCCCCCATATCCAACACAATTTTAAGTCAAATGTAAATAAAATTAACAGAAACTATGTATAAAAGGGTCTCAATGCAAAATGGCAAGGTTTCTTTGAAATAAGAGAATGTCATAAAGCTGCTTTGCTTGATAATTTCAAATTTATTCCTAGAGGCAGAAAGGTAGTATGGAAGGCACAAGGAAATGTTTCCCAGACAATTCCCTTCCCCATCTCACCACCATGGAGAGCTGCACCCCTGTAGTGTTGCTGCCACAACCCTTTGCACTCTTGGGAGCAGCCCAATTTTATTAAAAGCAGATCCATTTCTTGAAGCCCTTTCAAAAGTTTCAGCAGAGTCAAAACTATTTTTACAACAATATGTGTGCTAATGGTGACCCTCTAGGGTAAATTGTTTAATCTATTTACTCACTGGAAAACAGGCATGCCCATCCCATGGGATTATTTTGAGCCTCACAAACATGTAATCTCAGATTCACTGTTTCTCTCCTACAAGCACTTTGCCATATTCAATATGATGTCACCCTCCTTAGCATTCCCCATGACGGGGTCACAGTTTTTCCCTCTCAGCACCTTATTCTCTTCTGGACTACACTTTCTCAATCAACATCCCAAAACAATGAGGTGTTCCCTTCCCTTACTAAATCTGGCCATTTCCTCAGCTGATAAGCCTTTGCATTCACTTCCTGTCTCAGATACTTTCTTGCCTAGATCTTAGTCAAGCCCTATAGTTCCCCTTGGCTACCCAGAATGGTGCATGGAAAGGTACCTAAGCACATTTAACCTGACTCCCTCCAGATAGCAAGTTTTACACATCACCAAAACACGACTTATCGTGCTCATCACAAACATCTCAAGTATGCCTAACAACCAAACACCTCGAGTTAAACTCCACATGCCATTCGTTTTTCTAACAACCAATTTCTCATTTCTCTTTAGTTTTAAAGAAAACTGTTTCCTCTCCTTTTTCAATAACACCTGATTTGGACCTCAAATCCCTTTCTAAACCAGTACCCGGTCTTCCCCGTCAAAACCATCTTACCCTTTTCTATACTCTCCAATCTCTCTCCTCACCTTTAATTTTGTTTTTTAATTTTAACTTCAAAGATTTGCTACTTCTTATTTTAAAAGGAATACATAGACAAGTTGGTCTTTATTGTTTATATTTGCCAGCTAACTTTCTTTTATTTCTGTAGCAAACTCTGAATCCAGTAGTTCTCCTCATTCTCATCTTAGGCAGTTCCAGGAACTTTCATTTGCATTTGAAGAAGCTTGTGAATGATACAGGGAAAATCAATACTACAAATATAACAAGGCTAACAAAGTCACTAAGATAAATAGTCGCCAGATGGTCACCCCAATTTAAATAAACAAGGGTGCATATGACCCCTGGAGAAATGTAGGTATAGATAATTTCAAAATGATCATTGTAGAACCTACCTTATTAAGTGTATCGCATGACACTAAAAACACCTGCTAATCTCTATCAACATTCGAACAAACCTGCTTCTTGTATATTAACTTATGCGGTTAGTACTGAACTCTGAAAGAGCTCAGAGGAGAAACCTGGCTGTTTTCCTTCTGCAAGTGCTTACAGGAATAAACTTAGAATTTCTCCAATCAACCTGGTCTGTTTTCAGCTAGTGACAGACTCTCCTGGACCCCTTGCAGTCTGGCAACATGAAGAACCGGGTGAAGGGTTCATTCCCATTCTACAATTAAGGATACTGAAGGCCAGAGAGGTTAAACGCTGTTGATAACTACATCGCTAAATAGCACCAAGTCAAGATGAAATGTTCTTTACTTTCTTCTTATTCTGAAATAATTTTGACTGGCCAATTGATTTGAGCCTGGAAGTAGTAGAAATTGTAAGTGCTGGAATATCTGACAGAGATGATCAGCACTTTTCAAACTTTTCAGTTTCAGGACCCCTTCATACCCTTAAATCTTACTGAGGACTGAACAAAGCTCCTGCCTATATAGATTCTATCCAGTGTGTGTGCTAAATGTTTCATAGCAAATTCTCCAGAGGAAAAAAAAATGAGTCCTGGTTTAAAGCATTTACCTATTTCTGTGGTATAGATGCTACCACCAAAGTCAAGTCAAGCTACCAAGAATCCTCAAATGTGGTTAAGGTGGTAAAAGATGCACATAATCAACTCTCAAAGGCCAGTCAACTCCATGCACTGGTGATTTTGAAGGTTTTTAAAAACAGTAATTCATTTAAGGAAGATAAATTATTTATTATATATTAAATTCATTTATTAAAAAGCACAAAAAATTATAGTTCTCAAAATAGTGATTTTTTTTACACAAATTTCTTCACTTGTCTGGTTTAACAGGAGAAGCTAAATTCTCCGTCCGTCTGCTTCAGTTGTGTCATATAGCCTCTGGAAACTTCACTGTACATTTGTGGGAGAATGTAAGTGCAGAGGCATAGCGCATCGTAAGATTTTCATGAAAACAGTTTTGATCTGGAGACCCCTTAAAGGAGTGCATTAAGTAACAAGCATCTCCCTATTCTCTTCAAAGGCAGACAGATTTTCTGAAGTCCCTGCTGCTTGATGAGAGCACTTGTATAGAGGTGTCAGGTGTTGATGAAAGCTGAGTGCACACAGAAAAAGAATCACCATCATAATAAAAGTCACTGTCACTACTGCAAACATGTTTCAGTAAAACTATCTCAAAACAGGGAGACAAATAGAAAGTAGTGCGAACAAAAACATATTGCCATATTGTGTGAACAGAAATAAATCCAGTTTTTAAATGGATTAATTTTTTCCCCAAAAATGCCTAGTTTCTTAATTGATTGGTATAAAGAGTCTATGCTCAAACAAAAGATGTCTATCCCTAAATAGCATGTCATTCCAAAATTTGGGTTTCAGTACATAACTCAAATATACCATAACGAGGGAGACACTTCATTCCTCAAACCCTCCTCAGGCACAAAAACCCCACCCCAGGAGTTTCTCAAAACATTCAGAACAAGAATAAGCAAAACAGATTTAAAGTGATAGTGAAATTAAATGGGAAGAAAACACGCCTTTTAAAGTTCTGTTACTTTTGCCATAGATTTGCATTTAAAGACAATACATCTTGTCTAGAGAAAGAGGCATGAGATTCCTGAGTAAGCTGATAAGAAAAACAATGACGTTTTTACAACTTTATTTCTTCTAAGTCTGTTAACAATCTTGGTGTTTTTTAAATTCAAAGACTGCAGATCACATTTTAGTGCAAGTCGGTATTTCCAGAGAAGTATTTAATTCACACTGTGAAAAGGAGACAGTGTCTAGTATTCTGAAATAAATCCAAAATAGTCACGTTTTGGTTTTGTCCATTAGACTATTAAGAGTAAAGGTAATATTATTTGTTTAATAAAACAAGTAAGAAATTAAAATGAGGGGAGTTATTTTTAATTAAAATGAAGCATGCGCTACATATAGAAAGCATTGCATGTTTCCTTCTAAATGAAAGTGCTAAGTTTCAAACTTCCATATTTACTCATATTGAAACAAGGTATCAATTTATCCTGTAGAATCTGACTGTAAAATAATAAAGTTCCCATTTTCATAAGTTGTATTTGTTCACAATACCAACTTTAAAAGAACAAAAAAAAAGTTGCTTTTATTTGTAGATTGATTTTCTATACTGTACCTGACTGTAATGTCTGTTCAGAAACTATGGATGCATCAAGAAGGAGAGAAAGATTCATTAGTAAAACAAGAAGTTATAATCTAGTATGTTATGACAAATCATTCTAAGGTAGCCTCATTTATTTCTTTTATACCAATTTGATTACTTTATTCTGACAGCTATAAAAATAAATTAAAACAAATGACTGAAAAATTCTAAAGTGACTCAGATTTATTTACTGATTTTGATGGATAGGACCCCCAGTTTCACAATTACTGTGATTTTTAGGTTTGCTTTTCAGGCTGCGAGTGTGTGTGGGTGGGTGTGTGTAAGACTATATGAATATGGAAAACAAGGTGCTGGAGGTTATGAAAGATATCGCTCTAACACAAACCTCTTAGGATTTTTCTCTGGGACTCATTACCTGGTAAGAGCAATCACTTTATGTGTCCTCAAAAATATCACTGCACTATGCAAAACTGTAAAGTCCCAAGTCACAGAGCTTATGGGGAAAATGAAGTTGGGACACAATAATCAAATAACTACTGACACACCAAAAAAGATAAAAACATAATAACAATAATAATAATAAACGGGCACAGCTGTATACCTATTAAATGGTTACATGACTATAATTCACATGGCACTTCATCTTTGGGAAGATTTGCAGCATGCTTGTGGCATTGAGCTTTGGAAGGATTGTAACGTCTGAACAATGTAAGGGATTCTTGAAATTGGATGTAAAGTTGTGACAACACAAAACACATGGGATAAGCAATGGTAGCTGGTATGTCTTAGGTGTGTCTAGGTGTGTCTGTGTGTTTTGTGTATTTTTACCCAACTCAGGTTCTTTTGGGTCCTGTTTTCTGTGTATACCAAGTTTGGCTAGCAAACTTTGCCAGCAAAAACATACATAAAATAACAAGAAATCTGCATTATAGTCAACTTGTTCCCTAATCTATTAATCATGTTGGAATAAATTCCTATTTTTAGAACAAATGTTATAGTGAAACTGATTGTACTTTTTTTGGAAGTCTTATTTCACATATTGTAAAACATTAAGGATCTAAAGTAGTGTCAATTATCAAGTATGGAGATTTCTCAGGTCCCTCGCATCTCCTTTTCGTTCTTTCACTTGTTCACTTTAAACTATTGCTTATTAATGCCTTCCAGGGAGCCCTGGTGGTGCAATGAGAAAGAGCTGAAAGCCAGTGGAAAGCTCTGCAGTCACCAACAGCCACTCAACAGGAGTAAGATGTGGCAGTGGGCTTTCTTAAAGATCAGTCTCGAAAACCCAAAGGGGCAGTAGAATTTACCCCATCCAGTAGAACTGTATGAGGCAGAACTGACTCAATGCAATGGTGGGTCTAATGCCTCCACATCAAGGCAGATATACCAGTGATCGGAAACATGTCAATCAAGTCTCTATTGTTGGAAGCCAGTCAAAAGGCCTGAAGTGGAAAGCAAGAGCTGAGATTTTTTCCCCCCTACATATTCCTGAACAGCTGACTATAACTGGCTGCCTTCAGAGCACCACGAGGAATTCTGAAAAAGTCCGTGACAACCATTTGACCAAGCAATTATCCGACAGCCATCAATTGATACAAGGACAATTTTCTCTCACTGAACTGGAGATTTTAAAGCTTGGTTTTGAACCTTATGAATAGAAGAAATAAAGATGTCCAGAGGCTGAAAGGTTAAATTAAAAAAAAAAAAAGAGTGGGTGATCTAATTAATCAAGTTCTACATTGTGTTTTCCCATAGCACTATTTACATATGTTCACTGACATTAATTATAAACAAAACAAAACATAGTGAAGGATATATAAAAGGCCCATTCTGAAAGCTGTAGATAAAAACTGACGCTAGCAATTAGTGTCCATTAATAAGTAATATTTTAAATAATTAATAAGTTAATGCTTTTTCAAACGATCAGAATTAAAGATAAACCAATTTAGAGTAACTTTTGGATGGTGATAAAAAAACAACTAACTTTTAAAAATAAAAGTATTTATTATCTAATTAGATTACTGAAGACTCTTTTGAAACCAACAGCTGAACACTTTATGAATTCTTGCCTTGTGTAAAGTTAGTGTTACTTAAACCATTTACCCCTACCAAGCATAATCTATAAAAGAAAACATTCCTAAGCTTCAGCTTGTTGCTTAATAATCACCACTACAGTTTAAACATTTTGAAAGGGCCAAACTTCCTTTGGAGAAACTACTTTTTCAAAATACTACCTTTATAAAAATTCCTTTCCAAAACTATTTTAATCAACTCTTAAAAATAAAAAAAATATTTATGTAAACAAGCTTACATTTACTTCTCAATTTTCATAAGGATAAATAATACAACATAAGTTAAACATCAAGTACACATACCACGCAAACTTCCAGTGGTCAAGAGCGCTCGAGCTTTGTCAGCTAAGTCACTGTTTAGAGTATTTCCCAGCAGCAAAACATCAATGGCCTCTTGCTTGGAGCTGTCAAAGAAGTTGTTCTGAATTGTTCTGGTAACGGAACGAGCACCATCTTTTAACTTTCCAGCCTGTAGAGAATGAGGAACAAGGGTTTTCAGCCTCAATACTTTTGACTTTCAACAGATATTTTGAAACTTTAGTTTTAGAAGATTTTATTGCACTAAAAAGGACTTAATCATTTTATTTTGAATAACTAGCATCACATTAAAAACATGAGGACAGAAAATATCAGCTCAGGGCCACAACAGCTACCAGCATTGATATCTACACAGCAGTAACTATTTAAATTACTTATTCTGAAGAGAATAAACTGAAGAGGGTCTATTTAAAAACAAAAAGATTAACTACATCTAACATTTAGACTTAAGGATGGGGTGGGAGAGGAGTGGAAAGGGAAATAAAGGAGGGCACAGGAACTTACATGTATTCAGAAAAAGACTTCAAATTACTTTTAAAATAGAAAACAATAATTTTAATTGATACCAAATGTATTAGCTAAAACCAAAACTGACCATAAGAACAAAGGTCTCTATAAGAAGAAATGTGTAATTATAAATCCTAAATATTATATACAAACTAGTTGATAATTTCAGGCAACTTCAGTGCCCATGTAAATATAAAACAAAAAAGTAGTAAACTTATGCCAATTCTTAAGAGACTTGACTATAATTTCAATGAACAAATATTTAACTTGGTCCTGTCAACCATAAGATGCTTATTTTGATCTTACAGATTACCACAAAGATTATTTTGATTTTACACATTTTTTAAGTTGGCTTTTAGAAAATTACTTTGTAATGTATAACTTTTTACTCCTTCAGGAAATACAAGTTATTAGAGGCTTCTTTTTAAAATACAAAGCTCTGTGGCACAGTGATTAAAGCATTTGCCTGCTTACTCAAAGGTGTCAACTGTGGAACCCACCTGCTGCTCCCCAGGAGAAAGCTATGGCAGTCTCCTTCCATACAGATTTACACCCTTGGAAATTTTATAGAGCAGTTCTACTATGTTCTCTGAGAGGGCAACTATGAGACAAAACCGACTTCATGGCATGGGTCTGTCTTTTAGATTATTGTCAGATTGTTTTAAATGTCATTAAAAGAAGACTATGTATTTAACCAAGTACTGAAGTTTGGCAATAAAATGATATTTCCTTCCATATGATGACACACACAAAAGACTATTTGAAAAGAACTCACCATTCACATTATCAGGCAATTAATCAAAAGGAACCCAGAGAAAGGAAAAGAAAGAGCAGTTCAGATGTTAGATTTAGTTCATTCAGACTAGCATATTTAATGTATAAATATTTTATAGCTATGTAGTACATTAAAGACAGTAAATCAGTGAATATAGGTAACTACATTTACTGTCTTAAGTCAATAAGAAACAAAAAAGATGACAGAATATACTTTTAAGCAGCAGTTTTAGAGAATGAGCAAGAGAACAGCATGAATCATGTTTTCTGTTTAAAAGGAAAATATAAGCTTTCAAAAACAGGGACTATATCAGTAGTAAATTTTTCTAAATGACAATTCAAATTATTCCTATGAGTTAAGGTAGCGTTGCAGGCAAGGTCTGTATCTCTGAGCATCAATATGAGACACACAGACATTGCAGGAGACATAGGAAAGGTAAAGAGGAGATTTGCAAATTCAGCTAATTTTCAGCTATGCACATTAAGAATGGACTGTAACAGAAGTTCAGCTGTAATACTGAGATGTCGTATGCTAACTCTAAAAGTGATAAATGTTCTTATTTCTATGCCTGAGGTACTCTGAAGTGTTTGTACGGCTTTAGGATGTTAATAAATTAAAATCAGAGTCCTTTAAAATGTAAACAATATCTAAGTATAGAAAATAATGGAAAATATCTCCAGCATGCTTCCAATATGCCTCAAGAGAGCTCAAATACAAGTGGAGAAAGTAGTTTGTAGATAATAATAGCAATTAAAAGTAATGATGAGACAGAGAATTTTAATTTAAGTCCATTTCTCATACTTAGCATAATTTTATGCCTCTTTTTCAAGGCAACATAACTAAAAGAAGAAAAATTTAACAATAAGCCTCAACAGTGCTGCATTCACAGTAAGTGCTTTAGAAATTGTCACTTCATTTATTCATCCATCAGCATTTGTCACAGTAGGCCCTGTATAAATACTAGACCAAATGAGAATCCTTTTTGAGGACAATTATGATTTCTTTGTTTGTTTAAATCATATTCATAGACAAAATAAGCAATATAAAAAGCAAAACAGATATAAAAGGGGAATGTATTTTACAAAAGTATGCCACACAAAGACCTAGTTACTCATTACTAAATGATGAACTATGTCAGACATACACATTCCCTAAACTTAGGGAAAAAGCTACATTCTATTATACCATCTAGATCCATTAGGGGGATAAAGGGATGATAAAATAAAAATCTAAAACAGGTCTTTAAGATTTTTTTCAGAGAAAAGAACACATTTAAAAGTTTTACTAATGCAGTGTATTGTCAGATCTAGATCTACCTTGGCCTTCCCTTCAAGGGCTCCAGTCCCTGCATATATCTTACTGATGGAGTCACCATTCACAGACCACATTGACCTGAAGACTTCTTGAAAGCGGGTCACCAACTGAGGCTTTTCAGCTAAGCCAAGCGCTTCTAACTGTTTAGCTAGCATCTGAAACAGTAAAACAGAAACTTCTGTAAGTATATTAATACAGTACTTGTGAGGTAACTCTTAGGAACTATTCAATCAAATACACAATTTCTACTTATATGCTATGTGGGTCTGGATTCTAAGAAGATAACCATTTAATAGGTCAACCTTATTTCCTACCCTTTCAAGTTTTAAAGTATTACATTAAATAAACTTTTATATAACTTAATATTCCCTCATATTAATAAGAACTTCTAGTTAAAATAAAATCAATGCTATAAAATATTCCTGTAAATAATTAATCTATAAATAAAACTAGATTACTTTGATTACTTAAAAAGGACTAACTGCTCTACAAAATACCCATTTATAAACTATCAAGGGCTCATGTGGGAGAGGGGAGCGGGGAGGGAGGGGAAAAATGAGGACCTAA